TGTGCTTTTTCACGCTATTATTTATTTGGCTGTTTTTAAAAATTATATCTATCTTTTTATTTATATTCTTTACTTGATCAGACAGCATGCCTTTCTCTTCTCTCTAAGCGTGGTCCGTGTGGTTCTTTGGACACAGCATGTGTGTGTTTGCTGTGAAGTATCAGTCCGTTTCACAACTGTCCCCTCTCAGCCATTTTCTTTCACCGTTTTGTTTTTATATATCACATATTCCTTTGTCTTTTTGTCTTGTAATTTTGATATTTTAGGTCCTCTGCTCTCCTCTTCCGAGATTGGTTTTTGTTGTTGCCTTGTGGGTTGGCGGCTGTGTGAGTGCACTCTGTTCTCAGTGGAGAGGCTTTGGCATTACCTTGCAGAGAACACAGGCTTGTTGCAGGCGCTTTCAGCCTTGGCTTTGGCAGATCTTTCACTTGCTCTTTTCCTGTTCTGTCCTTGTCCACCTCATTTACTAGCACACTCAGCCTTAGATCTCGCTAACTTCTAACTCATTCGTTTGTTTTCTACATTGCCCTGGGGCCTGTGTTGCTTACAGCCGTTTGAATTGCTGATCCAATTAAATCTGGGTGATTTTTGAGGTTAGACCTTGCAATAGATTCTGATACCAGATGGCTCTTCCTAGGTATCTTTCCTGGTTCTCTGAAGTGAACTAGATCATTTGCTTGTTTTTGTTTACTGAGAGCTGAGCTGAGGGTTCTGGGTCCCTGTTGTCCTCTCCGTGGGGTGGTGCCTGGTGGAGAAGGGAAGGCCCTCAAGTCTCATCACACTCGGGAGGAGTTGGCCTCTTCTGGTCAGAACTGGGGAGATGGGAAATGCAGCCAGCCCGTCCCCCCATGACATCCTTAGGCCTGGTGAGGAGTGGAAAGGAGAAGGTGACTCATCTTCTTGGCCATGAAGCCTCCAGTAGTGTCTTCCATCCAGCCAAAGTGGGAGTAGACTGGGAAGACACAGCTCATGGCCACAGTGCTCTCAGCTGACAGTTTTCACCCTGTCTGAGCAGTGTTTTTCCTGAATAAGCATTTCTTCATTTACTGTGGACCCGTGGGAAGCTCACCAGTGGGCTCGTTGCTCCCATCTCTGGGTGGGAGAGACCTGGGTGCTTTGCGGGAGGCGGTTTTCCCCAACTGCTGTATTGTTGTGAGTCGGTTCAGTCAGTCAGAGCAAATGTATTTGCCCAGGGAGACTCCTTGAATGCAACGAAAGGAAGCAAGGGCAAATTTGCAATGCATGAAGGTTTGATGGAACCAATTAAGAAAACATTGAAAGGCTTGATGAGAGGGAGGAGCGAACAAGCTGTGGGGAGGGAAGGACTCTGACTGGGATGCAACGCCTAGGGGATGAGCCAGCAAACCAGTCAAACTTGTTGAAGGGGCCCAGAGCTGGCTGTGGGGCTCCCTGTTCTGTTCAAGTGGCTCCGTACTCTGAGACCCCTCCTGCCTCTGTGGGTCCTTAGTTTTGCACCCTCACTTCCAGATCATTGTCCCACTGTCAGTCTAAATCCTTCATTATCAATGCTTATGTTATGGTTATCTCTATAATTTTTTCCATTTTGAATCAGACAGCACTGATATACCAAGTACTGTATACCAAGTACAAAACCGTTGGGGTATGAAGTTGAACAGGTTATACTCCTGACCGGCAGAAAGCCGAGAGTACTGTAACTAGTTTAGTTCTCACTGTTGCATTTGCCGTAGCTCCTGACACTTTCTTCTTTTTCTTAATTGCTGACTTCAGGATTCAGTGGATTGTGATCCCAGGTGTTCTAGTATCCAGTTCTTTGAGCATCTCTTCATGAGTGTCCTTCATCTGTGCTTCAGGAACTTGCTTTAACATTAGTTTTGATCTCACTGTTACCTATAATTTGTATGTGCAGATATGAGTATAGAAAAGTGATTATAACTAAGTATCATGGCTCTGTGGTGGTATATGCTATGCTGTTACCTCTATACCTTTCATCCTTTTAGTATAACTGATGAGTAAAATTAAATTTTGAGTTTTGTTTTTTTTTACATTTAGCTCATTTTTCTTCCCCTTTTTTTTTTTTTTGTCAAAGTCATATTGTTGCAGAATTTAAGAAATCAGAGACACCAGTGGGTGAAACAGGAGGGTTTATTTAGGTGTGCACCAGCTAGCTCAGCAGACTCATGTCCAGAGGCTGAGCCCTGAGCAAAGGAAGAGTTCTAGTTTTATACATGTTGCAGAGGGACTGTGGTCTACCTAACACCATGACACTTCTGGACAGAAGCAAAACAAAGGCAGTTAGTCAAGCTGTGACAGTTTTGTAACTTAGCATATCTTGGTTCCCTTGGTTGGATAAAAATAGGATCTTATGAGAACGACAGGTTGTGAAATCTTACATACAGGGTCAAAGTTACTAATTTTACTTGTAATAGAAAAAAGAACAACAGCTGTAGGGAGGGGAAGTTTAAGGGGACTGCTTAGGTTGGGGAAACTTGTTTTTCTGTCTTTTTAAAGTACTGTGGCACAATTTAAAGTCAGTTATCTCAACAGGTTGCAAGTGTTGATTTAAAACAAGCAGTCACACGTAATGGTTATAGAGTTTTTTCTTTTAGAGGGGACGCAAATGTTCTAAAATTAGATTTTGAAGATGGTTGCACAACTCTGAATATACCAAAAACTCCTGAATCAAATATTTAAGTAGGTAAATTATACATTATGGAGATTATATTTCAAAGATATTTTAAAAATTAGTTGCTCTTATTCCTCAGCATTTCCTTTTCTCTAGAAGCGACTGTTTTTAACTCTAGATCTGAAAATCGGGTGTTTGTGTTAATTGCCACTTGTTCTTTCTTAGAACATGAGGGTTTTAGCTCCGTAACGTCTTCGTCCTCACCACACCCTGCATCCGTCTCTGTATGGGACTCTGCATTACCAGTGATCCCGTCACTATGTCATCACCTTTCCCAGTCGAACTGTGTGTAGCACAGTATTCTATCAAATCACATATAGGAAAGGAGTCTGTCCCCACAGATTGGTTAGTTTTACTGCTAGATTTGTTCCATAGTTTTGGGCTCTCTGACTCTTTTCATCTTCATGAAGGTTTTTCCTTTTGCTCTTTTTGGTTGATTCTCATCTAATTTTTTATGATAATGCATGTTTTAATTCATATTTGGGTATTTGGAATGCCTGGAAATATGCTTTTTGGAAGGAGAATTTTGTTCTGTTTTTTATTTTGTTTTGATTCAGTGTCTCACTATATAGTCCAATCTGGCCTTGTGCTCTGCTTAGCCCATGCTGCCCTCAAACTTGCTGTGAGTCTCCTGCCTCAGCCTTCTGAGAACTGGAATTACTCTATGCCTGGCAAGATAATGTTTTTGTAATTACTTTTTAATATTTTTTTTGTTTTATAATAATCTTGTTGATCTATTCTTTTTAACGTTCTTTTTTTTTTTGTAGATCCTATTTCCATATTATTTTGCCTGTTTTGGTTTCCCTATCTTTCCCTTGTCTTCCGTTTCTTTATTGTTTACTGTACTTTCTTATAGATTTCCTGAAAATCTATTTTATAATCATTTAGTTGGAGTATTATTTCTGCTTTATTAATTTAAATTTCCATGAGCTCTTTTTCGTACTTATTACTTTAATTCATGATTAACATACAAAGAGCTATATAAATTTAACCTGTACAGTTTGATGAATTTCAGAATGAGTGTATAGCTGTGAAACCACCAGCCTGTGCCATAAACATCATCACCTACAAAAGTTCCTTCCAGGGCTAAATCCAGGGATTTAGCTCAGTGTGATCCCCAGTACCCCCCACCCCAAAGTTTCTTTCAGTCCTTGTGGTCTACATAGCCAGCCTCGTGGAAGCAGAGAGGAGAATGTCTGGTAGTTGACAAGGGGCTGCGTATGAAAAGGAGGAGACGGCGTGGGCCTAGCGGCGGCCCCGGGGCCAGCTGTGCGAGACGCCCAGCTCTGGACGTCTGTGCAGCGTGGTTAGTCACGCGGCTCTTCTGCTCAGTGCTCTCACCTGCGAGCTCCTGTGACTTCCTCCTCTTAAGGGGTGTCACACCTCAGAGGATTTTAGTCATCTGCTTTGCTTGTTTTTAAGATTTTTCTGTTTGCTGCATTTTCTTTGTTTCCCATAGGTTGCTTTCTTCTTGTTCATTTTGCTTCTGGCTTTCATAATAGCAACTTGCCTTCAAGCCCCGCAGTTTCTGGCTGTTCACATTTAACAGGGAAAACCAGGAATCTGACTGGAAAAGTTAGATATGTGGGCAGAGCACAGCGATTGAGACCTTCACTGGAGGGAGATCTAGGTTATTTCCCCAGGTGACTGCCGCCCCCCCCCGTGTTGCTGCAGAGCACAGCGATTGAGACCTTCACTGGAGGGAGATCTAGGTTATTTCCCCAGGTGACTGCCACCCCCGTGTTGCTTTTTTTAGTCTTTTCTAAGACTGCCCATATTTCCAAAAGATGGCTCACCTCTGCTGTCTAGCTTCTAAACGTGTGGGAATTATATAGGAAAAGCCAGGCAAGGGGCCTGGGTACTCAATATATAAACACTCACTTGGATTCCCTGATAATTCAGAAGACCAACCCTCAATTCTGTCTCATGTCTTCTAAGCCAGAGACCTTGTTTGTTTTTATTTAGAGAGGAAATCTCAACTCTTCCAGGCTCAAGAAGGACAGTCATTTCTCTGAATAAAATAAGAAGAGAGCGGGGCGTGGTGGTGCACGCCTGTAATCCCAGCACTTGGGAGGCTGAGGCAGGAGGATCGCTGTGAGTTCGAGACCAGTCTGGACTACATAGTGAGTTCTAGGTCAGTCTCAACTACATAGTGAGACCCTGTCTCAAAAGCCTAAAAAAGAAGAGATGAGGAGAAATGAGTGAAATGAGCGACCACGGGCCCCAGATGAGTCGAGTTCCAGCTTGTTTCGAGCCTTGTCCATCTCCTCTGGCCGGTGACGGCCATGTCTTGGGCTGCGTCTCACGTACTTATCCGGGCCCTTTCTCTCCTTAGCTCCCGACGTGGACGTGAAGGGAGAGCGAGCGAGCTTTTACCTCTTGCTGCGCGGTGGGGCGAGGAGAAGGTGCAGGGCCACCCTGCTTCACTCCGCCAGCCAGATCAATGGCGCCTTCGCACTCAGCGCCATTCTGGGAAAGACGAAAACACTGACAGCGGATGCCAAACTGAGTAAGTGTTAAGTGAGCGAGGGCATTTCCGGCTGTGTGTGTAGAATTAGCTTGTGTGGTTTTGAGTAGAAGAAAGATTAAATATTTCGTTGACTTATTTTCGCCGCACTAGATTTCTATCAGTAATTTACCTTTTATTTTAAGTATCGTATATTTTTAAGTGAAAAGATCTAATTTAGTTTGCATTAAGTGTAATAAAATTTAAAATTCAACCTTTGTTTCCAAACACGTTTTGGTATCATCTGCTTTAACTACACATTATTATTTTTCTAGAATTTATTTTGCATTTTACTTACTTCCTCTCAGACCTTTCCTGTGTTATGCTCACCTCTCTGTCTTTCCCTTGCTGCCTGCCCACCTGCCCAGTCGAGCATGAGAACCACCATCTGCCCTGGTCCCCTGTGTCGCCTGGGTTTGGCTGGATATTTCCATTTTGAGTCCCACATAGGATGCGGGGATTAGAGTCTGGAAGACCCCGCAGGGCTTGGTGCCCCTCACGGCTCTTCACCCCCACACTGGTGCCTGCACTAGGGTGGTGGGAACAGACGGAAGCTGATTTCCTCCCCACAACTCCCCACCACCGGCGTGGTCTTCCTCTCAGCATTGTGGTCCCAAGATGGTCTGACTTCTTACGTGGTTGCTGCCCCTGTACTGCCGTGGCGCTAAGAGGCTGCAGGTCCCTGGATGTCACTTTTACCAAACCTCGTTACCAACCCAGGGCAGGCCCCCAGTGCTGAGGCTTTGCCCAGCTCCGGGAGTGCTGAGCTCCCTGAGGCCCTGTGTGCACCGCTTACTGATCTGAGTCCAGTGAGACAGAGCACGCTTGTGCACGACAAGTCACGAGTAAGCAATAGGCAGCAGTGCTCAGAAGACCCTAGGTCCCCTGTGAGCTGGTGCCCCGTGTTGGGAACGTTGTGCAGGGCAGGTGGAGTTTATAGTGTAGCTGGGAGAACCCAGAGGTGATAGGACCTGTGTCTGTGTCCCTTCGGGACCATGGCACTCACTGGGCGAAGCTTCAAAGACCTCAGCTTGTAGGGGAGACAGGAACAAAGCCCGAGATGCTCCATAAATGAGTTGTGCAGCCCTGGTGTGTGGAGCATTCTGTGGAGAGCTGGGAGGTAGCGAGAGGCTGGCCCAGCGGGGCTGTCCGGAAACCATCCTGCATGAGTTACAGTCATGGCAGGACCCTCAGGGGAGCAGCCGTGGGGCGGCTCATCGTGGGGTCAGACTGGGAGAACCTGTAGAGACGGCAACTCTCTCCCTCGTGTATTCTGAACAGATTGGTGAAAATATGCTGTCAGGAATTTTGCTCTGGTGCCTACATTTCCCACAGAGAATTAAGAATCTGGTCAAAGTGTAAAATGGGAAACAATGTAATATGCTGATTTCTCCTGCTTTAGTGTCACTCTGAAATATATAAGCTCAAGAGAGGCGAGTGACTTTTTTTTTTTTAAATTGCATCACAACACATGGCTAGGAATGGAACACTAATTGTTCACATAGCAGTATCTTCCCTGTCGAGTGTTTTCTGTTTTTCAGGTGGTCCTTTTGACCTCTTAGCACTTCCGCATTTCTCTGGGGAACAGGTTGTACAGAGAGAGGAGCATTTAGCCACTGCTCAAGCGTTGGTGTTGAAGGAATGTTTGGGTGAGTAGCGTCTGGCTGAGATACCGGCCATTCCTTTGCCCTCTTGCTTTCATACTGTCTTCTGGGTGTCACACTCATTTATACACCCATTCTCCATACCCATGACGTGCAGCAGAAGAGGTCTGCAACTTTCTTTCACCAGATTCGGAATATTCCTGTTGATTCATGTGTCACTGTTAACATGTAAACACATGTCTTGCCAGGCAAATTTTGTGTTTCATAATTTGTTTTTGATTGTATGATATAGAAAGGACACAGAAGTTAATTATTCTCACACACACACACACACACACACACACACACACGGTCTATATCTACATCTATATATGAAGCCTTTTGTATAGTTCTGGTAGTTGGAGGGTAGAGACCGCAAAGGGAGAAAGTGCAAATCCAGAGAAATTGTTGCTTGACCATTGACTAGTAGACTTGTAACTGTGACCATCAGTGATGGTAACTTAAGCTCGTTTCTCATACTGAGAGAAGTTGGCGTCATGGATTTTCCTTGTCTGGGAAATTAGTACTTTTCCCCTTTATTCCCTCCCTCCCTCCCGTCTTCTTCCCTTCCTGCATTCCTTTTTTCCTTGCTCCTTTCCAGCAGTCCTGGGAATTGAACCCAGGTCCTTCACACTGAGCTGCATCCCCAGCCCTTTTTAATTGTGAGACAGGTTCTCGAAATTGCCAAGCCTGGGTTTCAATTTGTGATCCTCCTGCCTCAGCCTCTCAGAGTGCTTGGGGTAGAGGTGTGCATTACCATGCCCAGGTAAGGCTTGTTTGCAGGATCATAATTGTAGGGTTTTGCTCTGTTAACTTAGTTTACTAGTCTTAATTTTTGTTAATAAGCCTTAAGCACGCATTGTGGCCCAATATGAACTTACTTTAAGCGTGTCATTGATATATGATTTCCAAGAAACTCATTAAAATCATGAGACCTTAGTTTCATGTAGAAAAAATATTTAAATGGTATGTATTATAAAATAATATTTTTTGTTTAAAATCATTTTTAAAATACCTTAAATTCAGTGGTCTGTTCATTCAATAGAAGACAATTCTAAAATACAGAGCCTTAATTATTAACAAGAGGAGTACTGACATTTTCAGTTGTGTAGAACCGTGGTGATTGTATATTCTTCATTTTTTAATAAAAAAACGTTTATTCAAGGCAAATGCAGTTAGGAGGGCCAATGAGTTTCGGTAAAAACGTAGGCGCCAGAGTGTATTGACGTGCTGTGCTGCTGGGAGTGTGGGCTGCGGATTTCAGACATCAGAGCGCATAGAACTCACTTCTGGACTTGTTCTGTCGCTGCCAAGTTCCCGCCAAGGCCTGATTTCCTCCCCGTAAGCGTCCTGCACTTTATATTCAGCATCTCTGTTCCATTCCTCTTTTCTTTCCTTTTGTCTTTTGTGTTTTGAGACGGGGTCTTGCACCATATTCCAGGCTGACTTTGAACTCTCTGTGGAGCCCAGCGCGGCCTCTGAGTCCCCGCGACCTCCGCTTCAGCCCCAGTGCTGGGTGGCAGTGTTGGCTCCCAGGCCGGCTCAGCATCTCTGTCCTCGCCTCCTGGCCTCTCTGCTTTTTTCTGTTTCTCTCTGTTCCCTGGGAGCTTGGCCGAGCTGCGAGCTCTGAGCCCATCCAGTCTCCTTGGGGTCACCAGAGGCTCCGGCAGGGCCGCGGTCCGGGTCGCGAGGGGAGGAAGGCAGTGACAGCTGCAGCAAGGTCTCTGCCCCCAGAGCGGGGAGGAGGGTGGGCCGGGCTGGGGCCGGGCGGGCTCCACAGATGTGCAGCTGCGTGGCTCCCCAGCTCCGGGCAATGGCAGGGAAGCTCCAGAGCCGCAAGCTCTGGCGTCTGTGAGCTCCTTGCCAACTTGCGCGCCCAGCACTCGGTCACGGCGCGGCGTAACGGCCCGTGGACCGTTTCTGATGAGATCCTCCGTGCAGACAGCTGTTCTGCCCAGGCTTAGCCAAGGCCCATCCGTGTCCCGGGGCACAGGAACCAGCGTGACAGCCCAGCCCAGCAGGGTGCCGGTGTGCGCGGGGCTGCACAGCCGCAGGGCGGCTCGCTTAGGTGTGCGGCGAATCTGTCTGCACGGGCGGAAGCCGAGTCCAGCAGCAGCTCCCTTGGGTGATTTTAGTTCACAGGAAGAATGGACTGTGCAGAAAGATTTCTTCAAAATTATAGACAAAACGTGGAGATTACTGATTTTCTGTTTCCCTGCCCAGTGCCAAGTGAGGAAAAAAAGCTTCCCTCAAATTTGAGCCCACTGGGGCATTGCTTCTTACAAGGATGCAGAAACAAAACTTGTTAGAGGTTAATTTTTAAATCATCATTAATTGTGCTTATTTTGAAGACTATATTTAGTATAATTTTAAAGTGATGATATATAAAATTGGAAGTTTTGTATTTTACATGTTGTTTTACTTACAGCTTTTTGTACTTCCTCAGATTTTTTGTGATACTGTGTTTCAGTGACTTCTCAAGAAAAAGTTTAAGCATGCTGAAAAAGTTTAGATATTTAGTATGATGCAAGATAATCTCGTTTGGTCCCCTTCTCTTTTGCAGAAGACCTAACTCCCTTTCCCATTACCCATCTTTTATTTAATTCTTTTTACATCTCCTTCCTTCCCCTCCCTCTGTCTCTTGCAAAAGATCTAAATAATGTGTCTATGCAGCTTTTCTCTTCTGAGAGGTGTTGAATATTCTTTATTTGGTATGTTCCACTAGCCACACTAAATACCTTGCGAAGTAGAAGGCAGCACTGTAGCTATAGGGGTCCTATGTGGCACAGCGTGGAAGACAGAACAGCAAGCAGACATGGCTTCTTCCTCCCCAGCTCTGGTCCTCAAGGTAGCACAAAGTGTACCTCAGGGGGATCTTGCTTGACCAGAGACAGCAGGGATTTCCTCCGTGTTTAAACTATTCTCACAGCCGGTTAGAAGAGCAGGCTTCTGGAGCTTCTGGGTTGGTGTTCCTTGTCTTTTGAAAAGTTGAACATTCCTAATCAGCCATGTCTTCCAGAAGAGAATGGTATTTACTGAACTGAAGTTACTACCAATTTTTTAAAAAATCATGTTCATTTATAATTTTTCTTAAATTAGGACTGTCCAAACAAAATATTCTGTCCGCCATTCGTGGTCTGAATCCTGGTGTGTGAGGTCTGTTAAGTTGTGGTGCACTTATGTGGGAAATCTACAAGACATCTGGTTTTAGCATCAGTAAGGCAGTGACTGATACTCATTGGGAACCCTCTGGCCCTGAATCGCCAGGTTGACTGACCTCTTCTCCCTTTCTCTTGATGCCAGTGAAGATCACTTCTGCTGCAGAGCTGTGCTTTGGGGGTTCTCCACTCACTCCGTCCCGAGTCCTCTGTCCAGGTGACCCCTGTGTGCTTCCTGGCCTCTGTGTAAGAATCCAGGCACCCGCCTGCCCACTGCCCTGCCAGATCGGTCTCGTGCTCCGCCCTGGTCCTCAGATGGCACCGTGTACACTTCTGCACCCCCGCCCCCTTGCCTTTCTCAAGAGCACCCACTTTTAATTTGCTTTCTGTTGCTGGTGACCGGCGATTCCTGGTGGGACGTCCCACTCTAGCCTGCAGTTTCAAATCCTCCTCAGCTCCCAGCTGGCGTAGACAAAGACCGCGTTCGCTTGTCCTTCCAGTGACCTCTTACAGCGAAGCTGTGAATCTGGGGCAAGTCAGTGGCGAGGTCGCGTTGTTACAACTGTATAAATAAGCAGAATCCTCTAGTCTTGCATCACAGCTGCCAGCTTTCCGGTGGCAGGGCTTGGAGTCTGACCTTCAGTTCTGTGTACGCAGACTTGCGTTTAATCCCTTACTGTGAACTCAGCTTCAGTGTTACTTTTCAGTATACCTGATGTCCCATAGTCTGTGACTATTGAAAAAAAACAAAAACGGAAGCAGAGCTGCTGGGCTGTGAGGGCTGGAGGCCAGGGGCGGGACCAGCATAGCCAATCCTGAGGAGGGCAGTACCTTACCTCTGCCAGCCTCTGGCACCTCAGTTGTGCCTCCTAGGGCTGGGATGGCACCAAGGTGACCGTCCCCTGCCCTGCCACTCTTCTATCGGGTACCCTAATCATTTTCTCATTGCTAGGGCAAGATGCCCAACACCCTCAACTTAAGGAAGAAGTTTATTTTGGCTCATGCTTTAGTCCATAGTTGGCTGGCTGCAAGGCAGAGGGGCTTGGCGGAGGAGCACTGCCCACGGCATGGAGCATGGGAAGTAGAGAGAGAAGAGAGGAGCCAGGGAGGGAGATGGACCCTTTCCGCCCTGCCCCCAGACCTGCTCTTCCAAGCAGACCCCGCCTCCTGACTCTACCCGCCTGCCACAGCCCTGCCTGTGGGATCGCAGGAGGCTTTAGGGGACACCTAAGAATGCAGCGTAACGCCACCTGGCTGCCATTTGTGTCTTCCAAACTTTATTTCACAGTGTCATTATTTATCATTTTTCTCTGTTATTGACCTGCTTTTAGTCTTTGAGAATTAGCCAAAAAGTCTAACAAGTTTTAGTTCCATATATGTGTCAATGTATGACCATTTTTAATGCTCTGCAGTATATTTCTAAAACCTTCTATAAACTTCTCTTTATTATATGTCATCTTTTGGTGTTAACAAATTACTCTGTTTCTCCTTATCTCACATAACTGGAATTCTGTCATTATGTTCAAATAAGATTAAAATGAAAGTGTGCCTACCTGGGAATGTTGATTTGCTGAAGAAATTCACTTGTTTAACCTTTTTTTTTGGTTCCGGGGATCGAACTTAGGATGTTGTGTTTGCGAGGCAGGCGGCAGAACCACTGAGCTACATCCCTGGCCCCTTGTTTAATCTTTGAAAATATCTTCCATGACAGAGTAGTAGATGAACTCCAGAGAGACTCGAAAGAAAGCCTTACGGTTAATTAGATTGATTTGTGTTCCAGAAAGGAGAAAGTTGGCCAAGGGGCCTGCAGCATTTTCTGCTGATGAGCTCAAAAGTCTGTTGAGACTCACCAGGGACCGCTTTCTTCATCATTTTGATGCTCTTACTCCTGAAACAGTTCTAAGACAGATCAATAGAACTAAAGCCTCAGCTGTGTTAAATGGTAAGTTTTTTATTGCTTTAAATTTTGTTCTTTGTCTGGAGCATCTGTGGTAGCTATTATTAAAGCTTTTAAGATCTGTTGGTCAACTCCAAATGCGTTCTATAAGTTTCAATAATAATGCCTGTTGTATATGTATGTGTATATGACATGGGACCATCAGCAGTGATGTTTACATTTTTAACGACCTATGATAGTCAAAGGCACATCGCCAGCCCCCTCAAAATCCGCCCTCACTCTGAACGCACTGTTCCGTGGCTTTTGCCTCTCTGGGAAGCGGTTCTGGAGGTGCTCTTTCCTGAGCGTCTGTCTCTCTGGACGCTGTGGTCCACTGTGAGTGCTGCTGCCCAGTGCCATCCCATGAAAAAGCAGCCTCGTGAAAACATGGGGCCCTGTGCCTCCTCCGTCTGATCCATCAGGCCTGGCAGCGTGGAACTTCCAGCTCACCAGCAAAGGGCAAGTGGCCAGGAAAGGTAAACACTGGAATCGATTCAGGACATCGAGGACATTTCCGGGAAGAGGGGTCCAGAGCTGCTTCGGAAAGGGGCAAGAGCAGTGGGATTAGTGTGTTTGAGGGGAGCGGGAGGAAGTGAGCGGAACTCAGGGCAGTAGATCTTCGACTGTAATTCGTTAAACTGAAACTTTCACTCTGATTTCTGATCGTGCTGCCTATGTGCTCTGTACTTATTTAGATATCACAGACTTTTTGACAACACCTTTCAGTAGGATGTTCGGTGTAATTGTTTTTGGGCAGCAGGAGAAGCATTTTAAGGTGATCTTTCTTATTAGCCTTGCTAAGCTGCCAGAATGGGTGGATTTCTACTGTTCTGTGTTTTCAGAGAGTGAGGAAAGTAGAATCTACAAAGAGAACCTTTTGTGATAAGATGCATCACATTTGCCCTCATTAGGGCTGGAACAGTCACCAGATTACACCGAGGAGGCACGAAATCATTTCTGTATTGAATTGGATTTCTGTTTTCCTGGATTGTGTTGTTGTGTGAATTGGAATAGAGCAAAGCTTTTCGGTATCTACCAAGAAGGCATTTGAAGGTCGCTTCGCACAATTTTAAGTGTAGAGGGCAATTTGGGGTTTTTATTTTGTGAAAATAATTTTATTGAGGAAGCGATCAGAGAATCAAGTTAGCAGTCTTTTTTTCTGAATGGCTCTTGTATTTGATACCGTGAAGGTATGCGCAGAAGGGAGAAGCCCAGCCTTCGGCTTTCAATAAGGCTCTGATCTATTTGCAAACAAGATACGAAGGCAGCACGGGTGCCTTCCATTGTGAGAGCACAGACTCTATTCAGGGTCCAGTCTCGGGGTCTTCACTTGTTAGCTGAAGGGTTTGGGCAGATTATTTAACCTGAATGCCTTTTCCCCCAGCCCTAAGAGGGAAAACAATGCAGCCACTGGCCGGGGCCCTGGTGAGGTGAAAGGAGTTGGTACAGGGGAAGCACTTGGCACACAGGTGTCGGGGAGGCTCGGTGGTCCTTGCATTGTCCCCATGCCTGCTCTTTGTCCTACCGCAGTTCAGCAGCAAACGGCCCGGGGACATCTGAGGGTGCTATGGATGGGGACGTGCGTGAGTCGAGGCAGGAGCACCACTTGCGGTGACAGCCAGGTTGCAGGCTGGCCCCGAGCTCGCCGTCTGTGGGTCTGGGGTCGTGGGTGTCTCCTGACCTGTAACTGGGAGAGGACGGTGGCTGTGAAGATGAAACTTAATGACTAGCAGCTGACTTCGAAAGGTGCCTGCTGTGAAGTAAGTGCCGCACGGTTTAGGTGAAGTAGCTCAGCGTAGACTGAGAAAGGCGAACCATACCGAGGCCGGGCGTGGCAGGAGGCTTGGTAGGAGCCAGGGACTCGATGGAGGCCTCGAGTGACCTTCACATCAGTAGAAGGGAGAAACAGCACACCCTGTGGTGAGGTGAGGTCGGGAGAGAGGTTGGCACCGGAGATGGAGGGGCTGGACGGTGGGAGGGCACCCGGGAGCTTGCCGGGGGGGTCGGACCTCAGGGTGCTTTGCCGCCCAGCTGCCGGAGTGTCCTGCCCCCCAGTCCTTTCCACGCACTGTGGTTCTGCGCAGGGCGCTGTGTCATCCTCGACGTTCTGGGCTGCCGGCCTCGTGCTCATCCCAGTGGCAGGTCTGCTTCCTGACTCTGCTGAGGCCATGCACCTTCCCCCGCACGACCCCTCCTGCGGTGTCCTCTGCCCGCAGCTCTTCCCAGTTCACCGATTGTCGCTCTGTGCATGTATCTCAAAGAGTGGCTTTTCAGACCTTGGTCCGCTTACGTTATTTCTTGTACTGTTCCCTATAGTTTTTCTTCACATCACTTGTCCCATTTGGTTACGTATTATTGGTGTAATTCTTTATAAAATGTTTGTTTGTCTTCCCTCCAAGCCCTGTTCTCTGAGAGTAAACTCATGCCTACTGGCCATCTGCGGTATCCGTGGAGCCTGGCACAGTGCCTGGCACACAGGGCTGGGGAGCTTCCTGAAATACTCGTTAAATGAATGAAAAAACTGAAGATGTTTAGAGCCCGAGCTGAAACCTGATGGGCTGTCAGTTCAAGCGTGGCTGCAGCGATGAAGTTAGGGCGTTTAACGTGCTGGTAGCTTTGATCTGAGTGAGTGTCTCTGTGTACCTGACACTTCCCGTGGAAACAGCAAGGTCAGGCTTCCTGTCGTGATCCATTGTTTGCAGCCACACACCTCAGGAGTTGGGCACAATTGCTAAGGTGTTTGCTCGGCTCATTTTTACAGAACTCTAGTGTGTGTAACAGGTGACAAGTCACATGTAGAAAATGCCTTCATCCGACCATTTCGTGACTCGTGGCCAGCGTTGGCGGGATCGTTCAGTTGCACCCGTGATGTCTGTGCTAGCCGTACAGTGACGGTCTCCTTTACAGGCACCGCTGGGCATGGCAGGGATGAGTGTGCTGGCTCACCCTGCAAGGTCATGATTTTATTATTCCGCACATTTAGAAACGAGTCTTCTAGTATGCACTTGTAATTCTCATTTTATTAAACAGATCATGCCTATGGTAATGTGATTTTTTTGTGACTCACTCACATTTAGGTGTACGAGATCAGAGCTTATCTTCATTAACTACTTCCTGTCACGGGTGATACCACTACCTTTCTGTCTGTGTCACTTGAGATTCTGTAGGTCCCTTCTCTATTTTCCTAGGTGTTGGTTTGGTTTCTTTGTTCACCAGTAGCAATAACATTTTTTTAAAAAGTTTTGAAAACTGTCTCCTTGGTTTCTTTCTCAAAGAACCTTTCTGTGCCTTTCTGGTGTCAGCATGAAACAGTGTCCTGACCCTCAGATGAATTATTGTGCTTTACTTGCTGTAAGGATTCTATTAAAGATGAGACATCTATGAATGTTTGTCTGCCCCTTCTTAAATATTTAGCCTATGTCCTTTATATTTAGGTTGTATAGGCAAGGCTAAAAATTCATTATATTGCAATATTTAAAGACAATTTAATACTCTTTTAAAAGATGGCATCCATTCCTTTATGAATTCACAGCATGCAATTGTGCAGAATTGCTATTGATTTTTTCCCCTTATTGGAAAACCATTTCTCCATGTGGCTGGCTGGCTCCGAGGCAGGAGGTTCATAGTGGAAGAAGCTGCTTGACTTGTGGCAGCCAGGAAGCTACGAGGGTAGGAAAGAGAGCCTGCGGGGAAAGTGCCTGGACCGTGGTGGCCCCTAACGTCACGTGCCTGTGGCCCACTGGAGACACCCAGCACTCGCACTGATCTGCTAGACCATCTTAAGCCAATCAAGTCAACAAAACCGAGGTGGACAGTGGCAGAGTAACACTTGAAATGTTAGTGATTTGAGGATGTGTATGTTACAGCATCTTCATTTAAAAATAAGGACTATCCCTAAAGTAGCCTTTACCTGAGACAACAACCCCTGTATTTGTCATTTTACTAGTGTACCTTTGAGAGCAAAGTAGTCTGTTTTTGGAATTCTACCTGTACTAATTCCTGTTTGTAGCATGAGAATCACATAGTGCCTCCAGTATGTTCTCTACAGAGTTGCCTCGATTTCATTTAGAAATAATTTCACTAAAAGTAACGGTGTGCTTTTATTCCATGAGTCCTAACTGTGCTGATTTTTCAGTTTTCTAAATAACTTTTATTTTCATTTCCGACAAACTTCTTGATGGCACTTCCCACAGTTTAGGCCCCCAGAGGGGTCTTTAATAAAGGCCTGAATCAAGGCCTGTGTGACCAACACGGTATGTATGTAGGTATCTGTCTGCTTGTATTTATAACGCTTTATGTAGCAAAATTCAGTGTGTTATTCTTTTCAGCTCTTATGGGTATTTCTTTCTCTTTAGCCGCCAGTTCTTTTTTTTAAAAGATCACTCCAAATTTTAAAACAAGTATCTCTGTCAGGGCTAATGATTAAACAGCTCAGACTCAGTCATTTTCAGCCAATTATTAGAACCAATATGTACTAGTTCAAAACAATGTTTAAAACCAGACAGTTTTAGAATTCAAAAACAAAGTAGTATAGTCTTCGAGTAGAACCTAACTCTGGAAGCCTAATGGAAACCAGTTCCTTGGAATGGCCAGAAAAGCATGTTCTTCAAAATTTGGAGACTTTTGAAAAAGCCAGACAAAAAATGAGGTAACATTTGAGTCCGTAAGACGTGATGCTGTAGCTCAGTCTTTTGCAGGGAACTTTGCTAACCCTTGACTTTTGTGACGTGTAAGCAGTTCGTGGCTCCGCTAGTGGATGCTCAGGAGAAGTGTATCAGTGAGCAGGAGAGTGCTCGCCTTCCTCTGCCTTCTCTTTGCCCTTTTTGGGTGCGGGTATCACAGTGGACACTGGGGTACAGGCTTCCGGACCTGTGAGTGCATGAGCAGGTGTCGCCTGGGAGCGTGCTAAGTGTCGTGCGCGGTGTGGTTTCCTGGCGTGAGCACTTGCTTCCCGTCTTGTGTCCGCTCACACATCCCCTGCCCACCCAGGCCGGACACGCTCGGGCTTGCTGCGGCTTTGGCTCCCTGGCTCAGCCTCAGCAAGACGAAGTGCCGCGTTCTCGTTGAGAAAAGGGGAAGCAAAGCCGTCTTCCTGCCCCAGTCCCAGACATTGCTAGTCACACCTTCGTCTTCAGCTCTTCTGTCGGTGGCCTTTATGACTTGCCACACCTTTTCTTCACGGCTGCACCGACCAGGGGCTGGGGGCGGCACAAGCAGTGTCCCCCAGGGCGGAGAGTTGGTCCCGAGCGAGCAGGTAACCAGGCCAGTAAGTGTGCCTCTCGGGAGCCACTCTGGGCTGGGCATGAAGCCCACACGGGGTCGGGCTCGGTGGCTGCGTTCGTGGTGGGGATGGACGAGAGCCGGTGGGTGATCAGGATTGGGGGCCCTGGGAGGTGAGTGGGTGAAGAACATTGGCTTCTGATAACACTTTTGGGGGTTTATGCCAAGAGGGATGGGGTCTGCTTTTGGAGAAGACTTTTGCTCTTTTCTGACATACGGATCGCAGAGGGAGAGACGGGGCAGAGAGATCCGTTAGGTGATCACTTCTGGGGGCCAAGTGAGGGACAGGGGCCTCACGGTAGAGAACAGGACAGCTTTGCGGTGCATTTTGGTGCTAAGCCAGAAAAAGCCTTCCTGTGACGGACTGGACAGGGGGAGGGGGCAGCGTGGACCGCTGGCCTTCACCACACAGTGCGTGAGATTCTCACTGGGGACCCCGCGAGACTGCTGCAATGCTGGGCGCAGTTCTGGAGAGAAAAGAACTCAAAGTGTGCTTGGGCAGTGCTGCACTGGCTCGGAATTCCCCAGAGGAAGTAGCCTGGGCTGGAGGAGGAGAGACCCCAACCCCACTGGCCAGCCTGGGAGGCGGGGGGCGGTCACAGGCGGCCTGGGAAGAGGACAGGAAGAGCAAGGCCTCCCCTCGGAGCTCTGGAGCGCTCACAGCCGAAGACGGTGGGGCGTGGAGGGAGGCCGGAGGACCTCTGCGTCCTGCCCCGGCTTGGACAGTCTGTGCCCTCCCTCCGGAAGGTGAATACCGCCCCCGGTTTTCGGCCCTCTGTCTCCTTTCACCTTAGGCCAGTTCTTCTTGGCCCTCCCCGATGTCCCACTAAGGTGGGCTGGGCCGATGCTTTCTCCCCTGCAGCTGACTTACCCCGGGCTGTGCTCCCCCGCATGCCTGGACTGGTTCGGGATTTTCCTGGGCTTCCTATCTTAAAGAGGAGCCTGGTGCCAGCTCAGGTTTTTGTTCCTCTCTAAAACTTTAGAATTTTCCATTTTCCTTACTGTTTTGAAATTACCATAGCTCATGGTCGTAGGATGTTTTAGTCTAGAGATCTCAGCTCTGGGAGAGACTTTATTATTTCTTCAGTAGTCACCCCTCAGTTTTCTTCCTTCTCTGAAATACCTGTTTTAATTCACGTTAAACATCCTGGATATTTTACATTAAAAATTCGATTGTTCTAGGGCCAGGGATTTAGCACAGTGGTTCTGCCACCTGCTTCACAAGAGCAAGGTCCTGAATTCGATCCCCGGTACCAAAGTGGGGGGATGTTTTTGGTCATTCTCCCTACAGTGTATTTCTTTGTCTTTTGGCTGTGTGTCCTAGGGTAGATGTTTCCTTAGGTCTGCCGTCTTCCTTTCTGTTGAACGTTTTGGGGGGATTCATGTCTAGGTCCCTAACACATTTTCTTGTACTCCTGTCCTATTCTTTCATAGCACACGATCTTGCAGTTATGTTGAGATGGGGGTGATACTGTAAAGATACTCGGTAGAACTTTCTCTGCTCACTGTCTGGTGCTCTGAATGGTCTCCTGCTCCCCCCAGCTGTTGCTGGGGTCCCCGAATGTCTGTAAGCGGCAGGGCCCCGGTGCTGTGTGCAGGTTGTGGTGTTTCCTCTCCACCCCTTGGGCCTGGTCCCCACCTGCTGTCCCCTGGCTCCTGCTGGGGAGGGCCGTGCAGGGCGGAGCTTCCAGGCACGCAGCGGGGGACGGGGCAGGCGGAGTGGGCCCTTCGCCCTACGCCAAGGTGGGGTACAGGGCAGTTTTGGTGTTTTTAAGAACTCGGAGATGAGAGGCATGGGCGGGGTGTGTGGGAGCGCGGTTCTGTGTTCGGGTCTTGGTTCAGCACCTCGATTTGTGCCCGCTCCTGCGACACAGAAGTAGAGCCCCGCCGCGGGTTGCTGGCCAGAGAAGACAGGTCTTACCGTTTCTGTGTCTGTCTCCCTAGTTCTCAGCAAGGGCTGTGCTCTGGTTCAGCCGTGCAGCCTGACGTGTGTGCCGCAGCCGCTGTTTGTTAGCATTGAAAGCTCTGAAAGCTTCGCCATCCCTGCTGAGTTCAGCCCTTTGGAAACTTACTGAGCTCTTGGGTCCACTTTCTCTTTCTTACCTTCTCAGCCCTGTCATGAATTCAACCTCCAGCACTTCGGTATTGTGATTTGAGTAAAGAGTTTAAGGCTTGAGTTTAACCCCTCTAGATCTGGAAGCTTGTTTGCCTTGCAAGGCCCTGGTGAAATGTCTGATGCCTACACACCTGGACTCTGGGTTGTTTTCCTTTTCTAAACATCCAAGGGCTGTGTTCCTGCTGCTTTCCTATAGCTTCTTTGCTGTGCCGCTTCTCTCTCCTCCCCCATCGGTACGTTGCTCTCTCCTACTCCCCTTCCCTGGTTCCTGACTTTAAGTCATGTCGTCAATTAGGAGCAGCGATTACAGGTCTGAAAATTTTGGGGAGCTCTTCTTTTACACCTTACTGATGTGCACAGCGGAAACACATCAGAACTCCGGAATCAGATTCCTGTTTGTAGGCAAAAACTGGTCGCAAGTTTTTTAGAATTTGCTTTGTGTTAAAACAAATTTAATTAGGGAATGATGTGTCGTTGTTCAGTGAATTTCAGGCTCAGCATCTGATTTTAGACCCATGCCAGTTGTATGACTTTCTTGTTTCTTGTGTAGATTGGGGATAAAAAAAATCCCAGGTCTGCTTCAAAACTGTGAAAACTTAACGAGAGGATTTATGAAAAAGCAGCTTCCGAGCTTGAAAATGCTGAGCACAATTAAGTATTGTCAGTGTTGTTATTTTTTTTTAAATCAAAGACATATCTTGGTAGTGTAATTTATCTCAAGCAAGTCTTTTAAATGGCTTTGATATCCTTGTGCTCATGTTCTATATAAATGCAAATTGTACATTTCGCCGCTCATCCAGTCTGCAAAATGATTGAGAGTCATATTCATTAAGAGGCCTTTGTAAGTCGCCATTAGAGAGGATGCCTACAGAAATTAAATTAAACTCTTCATGCACTTCCTGCCTTCTCGGAGTATGAATGAAGTTCAGAAAATACATTTGAGGCTTTTCTTGTTTGGCTGTTTTATTAGATTTATATTTTCAATTTAAAAATTAAGGAAATAAAAAAGGGGAAGGGCCACTGTCAGTATGTGCATTATCCTTAATGTATAGAAATATGATTCTAAAACATGTCAGTATTTTAATCATGTGGTTATCAATAAAAATGCTCATTCTGAGTAACAGAATAAACAGGAAATAAATTCATATGAGTTTATCATATCAGTTTTCTGTGCAAGTATTGAAAGATTTGTTTGTTTTGTTGTGCTGATTGAGGCCAGGGCCTTCACACTGAGCCACATCCGCAGTCCCCTGTTTATTTCTTATGTTATGCTTGCATCGCTCCATTGCCCAGACTGGGCTCAAACTTGCAATCCTCCTGCCTCAGCTCCCAGAGTGCTGGGATTACAAGTGTGTGTCACCACGCCCAGCAAAAGAATAGTTTATGTTATAGGGACAGAGCTATGGTAGACAGTAACCGAGTGCTTGATAAAACTGTCCTCTACTTTTCGGTATTTACAACTTTCTTTTTTGGCTTATAGGGTGACAGTAGACTTGGAGTCAGTCCAGTTCTGAGCATCATGTTCAGTAGCTGTGCCCCCCAGGTCTGTGGTGTGACCTATCTCTTTAGCTAAAATGCAGGAATGATTGGTTTTAGGCTCCATTTTCATTTCATAAAGGATTTATGCTACTTCACTTTGAAATAAGACCCATTCCATCTTTCTTAAGGAAATTTGTCAGGATGAAGAGCAGACTGCATGCATAGCAGTTTGCAGAGTGTAGCGTCCCGTGCTGTGTATATTTCAGACGTAATAACGATCGGGGGGTGCTCAGAATGCCGTCATCACAGCCACAGAGACCTTGGAGGAAGTATTCCGTTACTGTCTCGTTTCATGGATGTGCTTACATAATCTTTCAAATTCATAGAATATTGAAATATTCAGTCCTTGCCCTCAGGAATCTATACAAATCAGTACAGAATTTCAAAACACCAGAGTTTAGATTTCAATTTTGTAGAATTGGTAACCTCATACCTCTGAATAATTAACGTACTGTCTTTTCTAAGTAATGAAATTATGCTTATTTTTTATTTAAGTAGAGTTGTTGATGTGGCATCTCCAAGTTTCAGTGTTTGCCTGCAGATGTCTTGAAAATGTAGTCTGAAACTAAATGATTCGCAAAGATTTTACTTCATTGTTTCGCTTAATAATTCTTCCATTCTCCTTGTGCGCTTTTCTGGCTATCACGTTTTCTGACAGGGGTGAATTCTCACGCGCCTTTACTAGACCTGGGGAGCATTGTTTCTCCAGAGCTGCTCCATCACCTCGTCCGTCGGAGCAGTTGCTGGGCCATAAAGAGGGCCCCCGTGATTCGGGCCTGCTGGGTGCCAAGGAGCTGCTGAAATTCTTCACCGCCGACGGGCTGCCGCTGGGGGACCTGCAGCCTCTGCCCGCGCAGAAGCGGTGAGTGGGAAATGTAGGGTGTCCATCCCCAACACGTAGGAATCTGTGGCCAGCCCACATCCTGCGTTTTTAGGTAGCTGATGCTCTGTGCCGCTTCGGCAGAATTGAGACTGCTTCCGGCGTTCACCAGTTGGCCTTTCTCACCGCTTTCTAGGGTTGGGAGTGGTAGTGGGGCTTTCACACTGAACCGCGTCTTTAGCTTTATGTTTGACTATTATATTTTGAGATGGGGTCTTGCTAAGTTTTTCACTCTGGGCTCAAATTTGCAATCCTCCTGCCTCAGCCTCCCAGAGTGCTGGGATTACAAAGATGTGCTGCTAGGCCCAGCTATGATCTTGACTTTTCCTATGATCCAAATGCCCTACAGGTTTGTACTGTTGAGTATAAGGGAAACAGAAATAATGAAACCTGAGCATAGTAGAGTTCAGTGGCTCCTACTGTACATACAAAGGACAGTACTTTTTCAGAAACAGTTGTTTCAAATTCCAAGTAAATGTTTTTCATTCTTTTTCCTTTTATTGGCCAGTTTGGATTTCGCCTGTACTTGGCATTATCATTGTTAGTTACGCCTAATACTAGCAAAATCCAGGGCCTTTTAATTAGAGAGGATAGGAAAGGAGGGCAGGTGGATGGGGAAAAAATAAGAACCAAGATTTGTTATGTAAAGGTCCAAATTTCCGATGATGAAGGTCATTCTATTGTGTACCTAAAATGTACCGATAAAATTAATTTTTAAAAAAAAGGCTTTTGACACTGTAACATCAGCCAGTAAGACCTCAGCGTTTGTGTGAATAATCTAAATAATTTACATCTAATTTCAATTCTAAGACAACTCCTCTGGGTTACTGGTTAACAGATGCTGATGTTGCTGCAGTTGACTGAAAAATAAGTAAAATTCTGATGTTAGTTACTTGCGAAGATTGAGTCATTTTCTCTTTACTCAATTTTATTCTAATTGTTAATCCATTATTTTGAAAAAACTCCCGGGGGGCTTTAAAAATTCTACATCTAATTTGTTTTACAAAGCTTGCTTTGAATCATACTGTGATGACTTCTGATTCTGAAAGTAAATTTTCAAGAAGATTAATTGGAAGGTTGTTGTATCTCAAAAATAATGTGACAGAAGTGTCATCTTTCATGTGTGTTCACTGGGGAGAGGTAGGGAGCAATTTTGAAAGCATCCTAATGACTTAATGATGTAACAATTAAATAATTTTGGAATAATTTTCCTTTTCTCAGAGCTGTAAGAGAGCAGAAGCCCCATTTTGTCTGAATTAAGGCCGTAGTCTGGGTTTCCCTCCCCCTAGTTAATGTATTACTGTCCTTTCAAATCATTAAGCATGAACCAGCAGCCCAACAAGTGTGCCAAAACCAAGTCATGTATTTATGCAGGTACCTGCTTTTTATTACAGTGTCTTTCCAAATGCAGGACAGGGTAACGCGTCATATGGTTCCCAGGTGATTTATTTAGGGACATTTCGCACAGTTTTTTGATGTTAAGCGGGGGCTGCATCGTTCATGACCAGATGCATCTTCTGCTGACCGGACGGTTGGAGGAGGAGGTTCTGGGTGGAGTCGGGGGCCTGTGTGCCTCTCCCAAGCAAGGGGCTGTCCCCGAGGCAGGTGAAAGGCCGGGCAAGCTCGATGCCCGCCTGTGCCCAGGGACAGCCAACAGTGACCACGCACATGCCCACTAATGTGTCATTTAGAGCAAGCTGTGAGAGAAACTTACTTAAGAAAATAAGATGCTAGGAGGGCGAGGGCGGGCTTGATGTGAGAGAGAACACCGTGGAGGAGAGCAGGGAAATGCTGGGTGCGGAAAGCGGCCTGTTCTCTGCACTTATTCATTTCACTAGACAGACGGTCATTAAAACACTAGGGTTGTTGCAGTTTACTAGTGACTTTCTGGGGGACCCCTTGAATAGGTACTTTAGAATATGAAGACTGTGTTTTAGGATTCACTAATTGGCACATGCTTTACCTTTTAATGTAATAATTTGAAGTGCTTTCCATAGTACTGTTGTCTGCAGTGGCAGAAGAGCAGTTTTGTTTCCATTCCCAGTGTCATAGGCGGGGACTGTGACAGCAAGTATGACAGTATTCTCCATGCCCTCGTATGTCTTTGCTGTTCTGTGTAGCATTTCCGCCTCTCCTGAATGCGGACTCCCTGATACTTTCAGCCACCTGCAGAGCATCCTCCCATCCACCTAACAAATTCTGAACATTGGGACTGCATTAGAGCAGTGGTTCTGACTCAGGCAGAACAACCCAGGGAGTGAATTCTGGTTGCAGCGGCCCCACCCTCTACCCCCCGGCACTGTGCCAAGTCCCCGTAGTGTCTGGGGTGAGGGAGGGTTGAGTGCAGATTTTATGAACCTTCACATAGGATCATTTCTGCACACTGCTGCCTGCACACCTGCCTGAGAAGAGCTGAAGTCCACAGGTTGTCTCTGCCACCTGAGCTGAAGAAAGTGGCTCCCTCAGAAATTAGAGGTCACGCTAACTGCACGCTCGGGTAACCACAGATCTGAATCCCACACGTGTTATGGCGGGAAGTAGAGACTTTGTTCTTAGCAGAGTTTCAAGCTAACTAATTATCCCCCTGCCAAAAAGTCAGCTTTAATCATTCTCTTGTTTAAATGAATAAATATGAATGCACTTCACCACGAAAGAAAACGAACTTTTAGGCTGAGAGTGGTGGCACATGCCTGTAATCCCAGCACTCAGGAGGCTCAGGCAGGAGGATTGCTGTGAGTTCGAAGCCAGCCTGGGCTACAGAGGGAGACTGCCTCAACAAAACAAAACAAAACAAAAAAACTTTAAAAAATAATACAGCTTCCTGAGATTTCGTTACAAAGCACTTTCTGTTCTGTGCTGATCTGTCCATTCCCCAGGACAGTTCTGTGTAGTAAGTTATACCCTGAGTCAGAAACTGGAGGGTGGATTGTGTAAGGGGCAGAGCCCCTGGCCTGCCCCTACCCCTTCCTCAGGCTTTCTGCTGCACCTCTGTGACCTTGGACCCCAAATTCGGATGGAGGGGAGGAAGTCAAGTTTGGGTCTTCAGACTCTTCTCTGTCACGAAATAGACCTTAAATACTAATAAAACTCTTTTTATTTCAGGGACAAGACTTTTGTTTTGACACCAGAACTTAGTCCTCGGAAGCTCCGGGTCTTACCTTTTGAAAAAGCCTTAGGGTGTCACTACCATGGAATTGAGTGAGTTTTTGTTTATTTACACCTTTCTGGCCATTGTTCATAGAGCTTCTCTCTTGAGAGTGTGAAGAGTAACTGATGAAGTAACAATCTGAGACAGAACTGAAGAGAAAGCATGTCAAAACCCTAAAAACAAAGATAGCGATGCACACACACAAACTCTTTACCTTCTGTTGAAGAGAATGGGTCTTTGGTGCTTAACAGTTTTGCATCATTTAAACAACCTCTTACTAGTTAGGAGCTACTTTAGTCAGCATTATTTTGGTTTCTGCGTTATTAATGTGTGCTTGCACTGCGGCCGCCCCAACATCCTGGTCACTGATTACATTGCAATTGCTTAGAAAGTAGGAGACAGAATGTATTCCCTTTTTAACATGTTAATCATATGTACTTTTTGTTTTGTTTTTTGTTTTTTGATACCAGGGATTGAACTCAGGTCCTTGAGCTCAAGGGGGTGGAACCACTGAGCTAAATCCCCAGCCCATATGTACTTCTTTGTAGGATTTTAATTGACCATTTTAAGGATTCTCTTGCTTAGTGGCATTAGCACTTTCGGGGGTCGTGCCTACCTGCCGTTCTCTTGGAGACAGGAAATGGAGTTTGCCACTGATAGATTTTACACTGGGGTTTGAAGGTCTTGATTTCCATTTGCAAAATTTTTCACATTCCGAAAGTGAACCATTATTTTTATACTAATTTTCCATAAATTAAAATAATATAAAGCTCGATTCTTCATTGAGGTACAGATTCTAGGAAGAGAAAATAGCATTCTTGTTTTTGAATAAATACTGTTTTATAATGTATAATTGCAGTGAGACCAAATCAAGAAATCATAGCAGGGTAGTTGATGTCTGTTTTGAGTGGATAAAAACCTTTTATTTATTTTACTGTTTTGTTGTTGGATATTTATATTACTTTCATATACTTTTCAATTTTCTGCCCTTTTAATTTTATTAAAGACCTACTGATTAGACATTACAGAAAAGTTTGTAGTGAAAACCAGTTCTTTGTTGAAGATACTGCGTATCTCCAGTCTCACTTTTCAAAATACCTATTTTATTTATTTGGTTTTCATTTCCCCGACGGTCACTTCTTTTATTCTAAACGATAGCCTTCTATTAGTGTTTTTTAATGTCTTCATGTAAGATACTACTGACTGTGCTATAGAATGAAGACTTTGTTCCTTGTATTCTTGATTTCACTTTTCTCTTTACTTTGATTCCAGAAATATGTTTAAAACTTCTCTCCCTTAATCTGTGACCTGTAAAACTCATTTGCATTGCTGGCCACGTGATAGGATTATATCATACCTGTCTTTTTGTTTGCAAAGCAAAAGTCTATTCTTCACTTCATTTGATAATTTTAGGGCTTCCAAATCTATTAAAGGGACCTAAATAGGGGTTTTAAAGTATTTTGCATGAAAGTTAGGACCAGTAAACACTGTTTATATTATTGTGATGAAAAATAGGGCTCCCTGCTGAGAAAATGTACTGGAATTAACATATTCTTTGCTACATGTCCAAAACATTTACCCCAGGACAAATGTATTTTTGGCTTCTCCAGTCCTATAAACTCATCCAAGCATTGATTTGAATAAAACCAGCTCCGGTAATTCTGTCGAAACAGCTGGCTGGGGCACCTGTCACATGGCTGTATTTCAGGTGTTTCCCCAAATACTGTAATTTAGGGTTTGTTTATCCTGAGTGTCATCTCCCTGCTTTTTTATTTCCTCCTATTTAGTTCACCATAGAAGAATTTCAGGGGACCCTATAAATTTATGGAATTTGTAAAAGATACGTCCCTCACATTCATTTTTGAATGATTAAATGAAGTTGTAGTTGGGGGTTCTCTCCTGGCGGGCATAATTCATTTGTTACTGTGAGTCTGCAGGATGTCAGGAGACTCCTTCATAATACCGGAGTGTTCATCCTCCTGCCCTCTCCTCCGTCCTGCCCACCTCCGTGATCAAACACACACCCAGTCCAGCTGGAACTCAGTTTTCTTTCCTATAAATTTATGCTCCTTGAAGTAAGGACTAGCAAAACCTAGGGTGGCAGTGTCGCGAGCCCAGACATGTTTCCTAGAAGATTTGGGTGTGTAGAGCGGAGGTGTGTCTACTCCATGTAAGGGAGCAGAAACAAAAGCGCAAAGGAAGTGTTAGCTACAAGGACAGCTTTTCCCCTTCTGTTGCTGTGGGCCCTGACAACCCCCAAGCCCTTCTCTCCTCTGATATAAGAGAGGACTTGGAAACAAAGATGTTAACTGAAAACCCGTGTGTCTTAAAGCACAAGGGAGCACTGTTGGCTTCTTTTTCACGCATTTCCCTCTCCTGGAGGGGCAGACACCACCGATGGGAAAGTGTGTTGTTCCCTAAACAGCAAGTGAGTCTCCTCTGTCACAGTGGCAGCCACGCCGGCACACCTGGCCTCTCTCCTTGCTTTGAAAATGTTTTTCATCCATTCCAGAAGACTTGGCAGTTTTCCCCTCAACGCACTGTGGCTGCCCGCCCCACAGTAGACAGGATCTTATCTGTCGTTTCAGCTACAGAGCAAAAATAGCTTTGTTATCTTAAGGACATTTTTCTCTGTTAGGACCCATAAAACTTTTGGTTATTGTTGTATAAGAAAAGACGAGATTGTAATCATTCATCGCACAGTAAATATTTCACTAATATCAAATCCTTGCCCTGGAATGCTCTTTCTTTTCTAGTTTACAAGGAACCTTTTTGTTTCCATGGCAAATCATAGTCTAATCATCTTAAGGACATTTCAAATGGCAGTGAAAGTGAACGGAATCTGGTCGAGGGGCGACATGAGGAGCAGCAGTGATCAAGGGACAACTGGAAGCAGAACATCTGCATCTTAGAACGTTAGGGTAGAAAAGTGTTCTCACAATCAAAGTATGCATCTCTTCCCTCCAGTTTCCCGTGTCCTAATCAGCCCTTACATGGCCTCTTGCCTAGAACCTTTTAGAAAATTCGTGGTCCTTAATCTTACCGTAAATTTATTATTTGCCTAGGACAGAAGTAAAACTCATCAGTAACGTTCATCGCTGCTGCTGATTTTTAATGAAATACATTTCATTAGGTGATAGCCTGGAGAAAGAATTTTGGAGAATTGAGGTGTGGGGGTCCTAGTCCCTCCTGTGCCCTCAGTGAACATCTCACTGAAGCGTTGGTGCTCTCACCAGCTGCAGGAAGCCGTTACGTCAGCCCGCGGGTGCTTTCGGTCCTGCCCACTCGTCAGCGTGGCCTGGCAGACCTGTCAGTCGTGTGTATTTAAGTGGTGTGTGTGACATGATGTTCTGATAAACATGTGCGCGACAAGATGATCCCAACAGTCAAAAACGTTAACATAGCCAGAGTCTTACACAGTAGCTTTTTAAACATGCCCGTGACTAGTTCTTACCACGGACCACTCAGATCCGAAACTTGTGACATGGAGTAGCTCCCCAGGTGATTCCAGTGTGCGGCCTCCTGTCGGTCACCACTTCAGATGATCGTGTACCGTACAGAAGGCAGAGTGTGCCCAAGTCAGGCTCTGCGGTCACCACGCTGGACTTAAATTCTGGCCATGACACTATTGTTAGCACACTATAAGACGTGCTGTGATAGAAAAAACGTAATGATGATGGTGATAGCAGGGGCAGGGTGCATTTGTCCCGTTTTGCAGCGTGTTCCAGGCACTGACTCTGAAGGTTTCTGTTAGCTATTCAAGGAATCCTCCCAATAGTTCTTCCAGATAAGGCTGTGAGTGCTGAGTATCTCATTTTGTACATCAGACAAAGGAAGCAGAGATAAATTCACTCAGCCAAACTCACACAGCTGATAAGCAGAGGAGCCCAAGTTTAAGTCCAGGGGTTTGGCAGCCTGAATTAGACATAGTCCAGATTCTCAGAAATCAAGTGTGTGTCACAATGGAGAGAAGGTTTTTAAAACCTCTACCCGGCAGTCAGATGTTTACGTAATGACCCACTCCTTGAAGGCTGAACTTCAGAAATCTGATTTTAGGGACCATGTTGGGATTTTACAGGGGCAAGAGGACAGAGGACGGTGAAGGGAGTTCATTTTTCAGCACCCATGTGTGTGAAACTAGGCCTGCTTCCCTGGAGCGCCCTCACCTCAGGAAGGACGGAGCAGAAGACCTCTGTGAGGTGGCTGTTCTCACTCGTGGTTTTCCCCATGTGCTTATTGGTTGCACTTAACAACAGGAGATTCTTTAAACCTGGAAGCGTTTGCTGAGCTAACATTTCATTGACTCCTGAATCAGATTTAGCTAGAAACTAGATCGACAGACACCCAAAGGGTTTGAAGGAAAACCTGTCAGTCGGACGAGGATTTAGCCTTAGTGAAAGTCAGGATGCACTGAGCTGCTCCGTAAGCCAGTTTGGGATGCTTCTATACTCATTTAATCTCTGTGTGGAAAATAAACTCCCTTCTTAAGGGAAGTCAGCATTTCACGTTGGCATAGATCAGTCGTGCTGAGAAATCAGTGGTTCCTAGAGTTTTAAGAAGTATTAAAGCAGCAACTATATTATCTTGAAAGTATGCCAGAGGCCTAACTTAATCTCTTGGCCAGACACACAGTGGAAGAGAAATCAGATTGTGCCCTCCTGGGGGAGCAGACTGGAGAAACGGAGCTTGCGGAAGGAGCTGTGCTCTGTCTCCCAGCAGGCTGGGAAGCTGGGGAGGACTTGGGGAGTGGAGGTCTGGCCTTTCTGTGGCACGGAGGAGCCGGCTGTCCTCGCAGCGGCTCTGATTCTCCCCGTCTTTGGCCTTCTCTTTTAGATACTGCTTGGATGACCGGAAGGCTCTGGAGAGAGACGGGGGATTTTCAGAACTGCAGTCTCGTCTCATTCGTTACGAAACACAGACGACCTGCACCAGAGATGGCTTTCCGGGCCCCACGGTGCTGGTGCTGAGCCCCATCGCGTCGCCTGCCGTTCCGGTCCCGGCGGAGCCCAGGAGCGGTCCCGATGGAGAAGCGCTGCGGAGAGAGCTGGGCCCGGGCCCCGGCCCTGAGACGCCCCGCCTGAAGCGGAGGTCCCCGAAAAGGTGACACCGAGGGCCAAAATAGTGTCTTGACAGAAAGCACGTTATACTGGGGTGGGCGTCTGATTTCCCGGTTAGTCTTTTACATGTTCGGTGCTTTCTGCGTAGATTTACATTAATTCCTTCATGCTAAGAAGTTTGTTTTTACCGTGAGCAGTGGATGATGTGCTTAGGAGTTGTGAAGGAAAAGGGCTGGCCCCAAGCCCTGCTGCTCGCTCTCTGCGCTGGCGGACCGTCGGTGTCCCCATGCCCTGCGGGGTCTTCACCGGGGACCCCACCCCACAGACCCGGTGCACAGCCGCGGGGGAGGAGGGGCCCCCTCCTGCTGGCACGTCTGCCTCTGCCTCAGTTTCCCGCCCACGTGGGCACCGTTGGAAACCCACTTGATCCACAGAAAATGTGATTTTCGTGCCTACATAATTAGTGCATCCTGTGGAACTTTTTAGGTACATCTTTTGCTACTGCTCAAATCTTCAGATAGGTGCTCAGAGATGAGAAGTTTGTGAAATAAACACTAGTTTCTATCAGATTTATATACTTTACAATTGTCAAATTTGGGTCCTTCGTATTCAAACCAAGGCTTAAGTTTTTACTGTATGTAAACCTTCAGAAATCTGCAGAATAGGTGAAAATGAAACTTATGTGTTTGTTGAACACGTAAGAATAGTAGAAGACTATTTCCCTGATACGGAATAACAAAATGAGTTTTAGGAGAACTTTATAAATTCCTGGTACTTTTTACATGAGATAAACACAGAAAGCAAACAGTAACACTTGAGAGACTGTGTTTTGTAACTATAGATTAGTTTCTGAACTAATAAAAAGGTCTGTGTTCCTGAAGTGAAAGCCCTCTGAGCTGCTGTTGGCAGAGAGAAAGGAAGGCTAGAGGAGCCGCTCTTGCAAACAGCATCCTTGAGTCTTGAGAGCAGATGTAAACATTTTAGAAACATGGAAACAACAACACATTGAAAAGTTTTATTTGTGTTTTTTTTTTTAACTTGATTTTCATTTTGCATGGGCAGTTAGCGGCATAGGCACCATCAGAGACTGGTTGGGGCTCCTTTATTAAAATTCCCTCTTTGAGGTTGGGCGTGGCAGCACGCCCTGCAATCCCTGCACTCGGGAGGCTGAGGCAGGGGGATCACCATGTGTCTGAGGCCAGCCTGGACCACGTAGAGAGACCTTATCGAAAAATAATCTCTTACTAGAAAAGTATCAGTACTTGAAATGCTGGTTGCTACGCAGTGTTCCGTTGTACTCATTTGAAGAACTGGAGGAACAGCTTTACAGGCAGTGCTGATTGCTTACAAGAGGCAGAGCACAGGCAACTCTGCTCTTGCTGAGTGTGTGCTCGTTCGGATGCAGTTAGCACACTGGCTTCCCGTCATCTGTGCTCTTGATTTTCCTCTTGCTGTAGACTCGTGAAATCTGCCAGCTCAGATTCTCTTCTGTCCCAGCCAAGGGGCAGCGGTCGCCGGCATCACGCAGTGACGTCCAGGAAGCCACAGCCGGAGCAGCCCTCAGCCGTGGCCTGCCCTTCCCTTCCCCGTCCTGGCAGCAGAGCTCCAAAAGTCCTGAGAGAGGCCGGCTCTGGTCAGAAAAGTGTGCACCAGCCAAAAGCTTCCAGGCAAACTAAGGAGTCCAGGTCGCAGAAGCATACGCGGGTAAAGACTTTTTCTCATCCTTCATGTTCTACATGAGAAGAAATTTCTTTATTTGAATTTTGTAAAGATTTTAGGAAGAAATGAAATAATGTCTAGAATTTATAATCGCTCAGAGTAAGGACGGTGGGCGAGGTGAGCAGGGGACAAGTGAAACAGAATCAGCCAGGAATCGAGCTAGGGGGTAGATAAAGCAAGGCGGGAATCAGGCGGGTGTGACGCTGCACACTTGTGATCCCGGCACTCCGGGAGGCTGAGGCAGGAGGACCACAAGTTTGAGCCCAGACTTGGGAGCTTAGCAACTCGGAAAGACTCTGTCTCAAAATAAAATATAATAATAGGGCTGGGGATGGACCAGTGTGAAGGGCCTGGGCAATCTCAAGTTAAGAGAAACCAAAAGGAAATGGACACTGCTTTATTGGAAATTTTCCATGATTAAAAAAACACATACCCGTTCTGTGTAACTGTCGTACTGAGAGCTCAACTCAGAACTCCTACTTTGAATTCCTTTCGTAAGACACCCCAGCCGTTCTCTGTATCGTGCTGTGCCCGATGTGCCCACGTCAGCGGTAAAGACGTCTTTCCTTCCACTGCGGTCTCAGTGACTTACCTGTCTTGGTAACAGTGGTAACAGCGTGACAGTGGGAGTCACAGTGCAGTTTTGATGAGCTCCGGGGTTGAAATGTCTGTCCTTTCTCCAGAGGTCTCACTGTCCCTTTATGTCGTGTTCTCTTTCAGGTCCTCAGAGAAGTGGTGGCGGAGGCCCTGAGGAAACACGGTGTCACTGAGACGCACATGTGTTTCCCTGCCTGCAGCCAGCGGCTCTTCGAGATCTCCAAGTGCTACCTGAAGGTCCCGCGTCCTCTCTGCTAACAGCAACACTTTGTTCTCCCTCTAACGTTCCTATTTAATTAAAAAGGGTTTAAATGGGCCAGGGATTTAGCTCAGTGGTTCCGCCTCCTGCCTCCCAAGTGCAAGGTCCTAAGTTTCGTCCGTGGTACCAAAAAAAAAAAGTTTAAATGACTATTTTTATTCTTACGGCCTATGAATTGTTGCTAGATTTTTGTAAATGGAGATAGAAAAATGATGCAAAAGAATTTTCTATTTATTTGATTTTAGTCCTCAGATAACTGATTTTACCTGGAGTCCTCAGTATTTCCCCCTAACAAGTCTAACAACTTCAGTTGGTGCTTTGAACATTAATAATTCGTTGGACAGTTTTACTATTGTTATTCTATGTGGTGAAAACGTACCGGGCTCTGTGAAAACACCCAGTTTCCAATGGGGGACCCATCATCACTCCGTTATAAGGCATCAGACAGGTCAGCCGCTCAAAGCAGCTTTCTCCAACTTAGGAGGTGTCAGCCTCACACTCCAAGTTTCTCATGTGAACAGAGGTTTCTGGTTACATTGCCATTAAGCATGCGCTCAGGTCCCTTCCTCTTTAAAATTTCTCAAGCAGAATAGCACCGTGACAGAGAGCAAGGGAAGGGGAGGAAAGGCGGTGGAAATGTGGTTTGTGAAATGGAGCCAGGAGGTGTCACAGCCCAAGAGCCGGAGTGTGGGGAGACCCAGGTGGGTCTCCGAGGTGCTCGGGATTTGTAGGCACCGGGGAGGCATTGGACGCGGTGCCGGGGGGATGAGAGGAAAGTGGTGCAGGTCCTCCAGGCACACTGGGCCTGCAGGGTGCACTGCGCAGTCTCTCCCACGGCCAGCGCTGCGAGGGCTGCGGCTCACGATGATCTCCCCAGCTCCGAGACGGGACAGGAAGCCTGTAGAGCAAAGGCCAGCTGGCCACCCAGTCAGCCCGCCGTGTAACAAGCTCTGCACAGAGAAGGTGTCTGTGCTCTGGTGTCGCTCGGAAATGTGCCCAGACAGCCGGGGAGTAGCAGGCTTCACAGAAGCTGCCAGAAGACTGAGGCCAGAAAGTGGACAAACTAGAACAGGACGCTGCTGACAAAAAAGTACACAGAACACAAAATCTTCTTCAAATTGAAAATATGAAATCCATGGTATAGATTATGTGAAAAATAATGCCAGAAGTTAGAATCAAATGAGAAAAACACTGAAAAGTGGAAGAGAAGTGAAGGATTAATCCAGAAGATCCAGTTTGTGCGTAATAGGAGAGAAAATTGTCAGAAATGTAACCAGAGTTTCCCAGAAGAGAAGGGCTGAGGCCTGCTGGGAAGGACACACAGTGTGTCAGCCTGGGGAGTGAAGACCTGCGGCAAACCGTGTCACTGTGTCACAGTGCGGTTCCATGCCTCCTGCTGTCAGCGGAACACCTCCAGGACATTCTGCAAAGCCACTTCCACAGCAGGACACGGTGTGACTCATGTGAAGAGCCGAGAACCAGAAAGGGCTTCTCCACAGGAACACCGCGCTCTAGAAGACGGTCAAAGTATCTTCACAATCTGAGGGAACCACAGTTACCTCCTGTTTTGGTTCCCTCCTGTTTTATACCCTGTCTACAGTCCAAGCAGGTGTGAGAATTCAGTAGCGTATTGCAGACACGGAAGGTCTAAGAACGTACCTCACCCTCTTGAGGAATCGTCTAGAAGCTGAAGTTCACTGGAAAAGGAACAGAATCATAAGTAGAACAAGAAGTCCTAGAGCATCCCATGGGAACTGCAAGACCAAACCAGAGCAGGCTAGAGGAGACAGACGTTAAAAATATAAAACTGGGAAAAATAACCGAACCGAGCAATTATACAGTGTACCTCAGTGCTTAGAAACCTTTGCTGTATATTTAGTCACTCCCTTGCCTGGGAAGGGTAAATACTCAGAATTATAGACATGGAAAGTGAAGCAAGTGAAAACCATAAACAGGTAGTTTGACCAGAGGGAAAGCAGACATTGGATGAAAGAGTCATTAGACCGATCATAGCTCAATCACCTAAGGATTGGACAGTGTTTATCTCAGAAATGCCAACACTATTGACTGGTCGAACACTCGATTATTACCGAGAGGAAGATGTTGGGATGGAGAAACTGTAGGTGGCATTTACCAGAGCTGGTTCACAGCCGTTACTCAGCGCTGCTACCGAGTCACCGTCCCGGGCAGCCGCGGAGTGAAGCCCGCAGCAGTGCAGAGGCGCAGCTGAGGGCACAGCCGAAGGGCGGAGGGGCGGGTTCTGGGGAGCACTGCCTGGAGCCCTGGCAAAGGACTTTTCGGTTCTTTGTTTGTTTGTTTTGGTTTTGGTGCCAAGGATCAAACTTGGATCCTTGCGCTTGCGAAGCAGGCACTGGAACCACTGAGCCAAATCCCCAGCCCTCTTTTTTTTTTTTTGGTACCAGGGATGGAACTCGGGTCCTTCCACTTGCAAGGCAGGTGGCGGCACCACTGAGCTGAATCCCTGGCCCTTTAATATGGTTTTTAAACTTTATAATCTGATTTAATGTCATTACATTTTTAAAGTCAGAATTCAGTTTCATTTCCTATGTTGTCCCTGTCTGTGATACAGTGAAATAGCAAAAAAGAAAGAGGAAAAAAAAGATATTTACCTGTAAAATAGATTATATAATGAAGCCAGTGATGAATAAATACCAGGGTAGAGGGTGACTGATTTGATGTTCACTGGCAGTACAAGCTGAGGGGAAACATTTAGATGGATGTGTTTAGACGGATTTTTGTTTTTCAGGTTGGAGGTTAATTGTAATATATTACTTTGATTTTGGTAATATTTCCTTCATTGCATTTGATACTTGTGGAATTAGGGTAGCCTCAGGCTCGCTTACTAATGAATTATTCTCTATAATTTATGTACAAAATCACAAAATGCTATATTTTCTTCATGTTTAGGATCTTAAAACTTCGAGAGGTCTATTTGAAGAAATGAAGAAAACAGCAAACAACAATGTCACACAGGTAAATGATTCACAAGAAACGACATTCCGTTGCATTGGAAATCTTTCAGGATGATGTGCTGCTGTTACAGGTGCAGTAAACATTAGTGGTGGTCTTTTCAACAGCGTCCCTCTGAAAACTTTCTAAGCTGCTTATAATAAAAGTGATTCAGGCATAGTGCTTAATAATACTTAATAAAAGAAAGGGAAATAATTCAAAGGACTAGAAAAGTTAATCCATTTTCATTAGCTGTTTTCAAACTTTGGTGTAATTTCTTTCGACTGACCTTTTGAAAACACATTTTCACGAAAAGTTAAGAAAAAGGAGCAGAATCTTTTTTTTAATCCGAGAACACTATGGTGCTTGGAATTGGAAGTTCAGCAGAAGAGGTTCTGTAGTTGGAAAATAAAATGTTTTTTAAGCATGGGTATGTTACTTTTTACTTTAAAATTTCTGCTGTTCTCTTTTGAAGTTTTAATAATATTTTCCTATTACTGGAGTTTTTAATAGAAAGGTACCATAATTATATATTTCTTCTTCCCAGGTAATTGAATGGGTCTTGGAAAAAACAAGCAAGAAATGATACAGAATCATTTTCTTTTGGACAAGAACAAGTCTGGATGCTACTGTTTACTGCTCCATTCCTTAGCTTGAGAATTAGAAACAAATTTCATATTTTTTCAATAATAGGTATGAATATTTCTAAATCATTTTATAAGTATCCTGTATTTACATAGTTCTGGTGATGTTCAATTAATGTATTTTTAATTATGTCTATATTTGATACAGCTTACTATATTTTAATTTTAAAGTTATTTTAAATTTTTATTCTTGTCATCGTAATTATTACAATAAATAGGAACATTTCCTTGATGTATTGGGGGCATGTCTTCACTGTGAGGGCTGCTTACATTTCTGCGTCCTAAGTGGGATAGTGCCATCATCTCCCTGTGTTCATTGGCCTGAGAAATACTGGCACAAAAAATTCACCCAGGCCCCTGCCCTAGAGCCACCACGTTTACTGCTCATAATGTTTACTTGAGATCAAAAGTGAAGAGAAGGCAAAAATTGTGAAAGTAAAGATATAATGAGGGGCAGCCCACGTTCTGTCTCCCTTCGGTCTCTTAGACAGAAGCTCTCTCTCTCTCAATACATTTTTCCTACTCTCAACCTCCACTGTTCCTAGAATTAATTCCTCCAATTAAGAGAACACCAACTCGCACTTAAGATATCTAGCAGCTTTGGGAGTTCTATTTTTTGTCCCTATATCATTTTGGAGGTCCCAACGAGATTACTGGTCAGAAAATTAAAAGCTATGCAGCTACCAAGATGACAATGCGGGGCACCTCCTGAAGGCCTTAGAAAATTAAAAGCTATGCAGCTACCAAGATGACAATGCCAGGCACCTACTGAAGGCCTTTAGATAGACCCTCCAGAGAGTAACTCTAACTGCTGATCACAACTACGATCCTCTTCAGCTCGAAGCAGCCAGAGCTATCTTTGCCCTTTGCCCCCTCACAGCAGTTAGGGGTACTTCTTCAGAGGGGGGAATATTGTAGATGGGTAAGTTAATTAGATATCTTGTAGGCAGTTAGACAGGGCCACCCTCAAGGAGCCAACACAGCAAGGATTCAACATGGAGGACAATCAAGACACATTCACTGAGGGCCAGAATTGTAAAAGGAGAGAAACTGCAATACCCCTGTGCATAAAGAGCAGTGATTGATATTCTAAACAGGCTTCAATCTCCTGGTGTGGGGGCAAAGTCTTAACCCAGCATTTCCAGGAAATATCCCTGATCCCCACTGAATCTCTTTGCTTTTTTGTTTTTGGGTACCAGGGATTGAACTCGGGACCTTTCTCTTTTGAGGCAGGAGGTGGCGCCACTGAGCTGAATCCCTGGCCCTTCCGTTTAATATTACTGTGGTGACTGTACTTGTAATCTTATTGGTTGGTCATGGTTTTGCCCCACCTCACGCCCACCTTGTAATTTTCCATTGGGTCTTACAGTTTTGTCCCACTTTGTACCTGCCTCACCACATGGCTTGGCTGTATAAAACCTTTGAGAAGTGGTGCGGGTGGGCAACCCACTTTCCGGTCCCCCTTCTGTCTAAGAGACAGAAGCTTTCTTTTTATTGAGTTTATTGGTACAAACTAGGTATACAATACAGTTACATTCATTATTGGGATCCTGTACCTTCACATGACAGGTCTTGATTCTCATTTTTTCCCCTTGTAACAGAAGCTTTCTTTGTCTCAATAAATTTTCTTACTCTTAAAAAGAAGATATAATGAAAATGACCCAGAGTACAGATGGAAGGAAAAAAATCTTTCTCGGAGTGGACAATCTGGAGCCCTCCTTTAAAAACTGGGAAAATGCAGCTGGCTTCACAGGGCTAGGTTAATAGCTAAGTTCGTGCCAAGCATGTTGCCAAGAACTGTGTGCAGTTATCTCACAGGGGCCGTGTGAGGCAGTCGTGTCCCGTTCTATGGGTAAGAAGGGGAAGCACAGCAAGGTTGTGATGGGCAGTGTCGCGTAACTCAAGTTACGAGGCAAAGTGCAAACTTTGGTTTGTTGGGCCTTACCACCTTTCCATGCTGAGTTCTGCGCATGTAGGCTCATAACTCTTTTCATTTTATTCCTTTCCTCCAAGGATCTCAATTTTCTACTTACTAATAGTATGGATTAAGACAAGTTGTAAAACTGATACCAATGAACAATATTCAAGTGATGTTTAGAGTTTTAAGATTTTGAATAAACTTTTTGCAGTGCCATTTGAAATTTAGCAAACATAAGTTGTGTCCTTTTGAGCAACAGCATAAGCACAAAAGTAAATTGCCTTAATCACTATTACAAAGACATGAAGTGACCAAATTTTTTTATTAACGAAGAAAGCAGAAGGATTTATTTCAAGACCTGCTATAAAGCTGCAGTACAGACACTCTGGCATTCGATGTTTTTAGGTCAGAAGAACAAATGAGATCTTAAAGGCATCCAGCCTATCACACTTACCTTTGAAGAAGGAAATGTTTTCAGAGAAATAGAGCTTGAGTAAGTGGATGTCTACCTGTTATGGCCTAGCCCTAAAATATCCCCAAAAGACTCCTGGACTCAGAGGTAGATCTGCTGGGAGGTGATTGGGTCACGGTAGTGCTAGTGAGTTCACAGCTGGCCGTGCCAAGCGGTGGGGCCTGGTCGGAGAGGGTGTGTGACCCAGAAGGGCGCATTCTTGTCCCTGGCTCTTCTCCCTTCTCTCCCCACGTCCTGCTGCCATGCAGCGAGCAGCTTCCCTTTTCCGCACCATTCCGTCAGTCATTTCTGCGGTGGCACTAGCTGACCAGAGACTATATCCACTGAAACCGTGAACCAAAATAAGCCTCTCGTCACTTAAGTTCAGGGTGTCAGATATTTTGTCCAGTGTCGGGGAAGTGACTGATCATCATCAGTATGGAAAAATAACCTTAACCATGACCTCACACCATGCCCAAGTATTAACATGACATAGATCATAGTCTTTTACTTAAAATCTAAAACCACAAAACAACTAGAAGAAGAAAACAGGTAATTCTTTATTACCTTTGGATAAAACAGTGATTTCTTATAAAGGACTCAAAAACCATAAACCTTAAAATTAAATAATACATTGTATTTCAAAATTTTAAAGTTCTGCTCTTGGAAAGACCTGAAGAAAATGAAAATGTAAGCCACTGAGAGAAGTGATTCATCGTGCATTTCTCTAATAGAGGACTCTTATCTAGAATACATGGAACATTCTTACCACAGTAAGAAAACAATTAGATTTTTGAGTGAACAAGGGATATGAAAAAATATTTTACATAAGCGTGTATAAGGGTGGCAAGAGGGACATATAAAAGGATGCTCAGCCTCACTAATCGAAGGAGGGCAATGTGCCCACTGGAAGGGTAAATTTTAAAGTAGTTCTGTGCCTTGGTAAGTTTGGCCTACTCAGAAATCTTTCACCAACAGGTGGGAAGGAACCATGCTGAAATCCCCCCCTTTTTTTCCGCAGTAGTGGGAATTGAACCCAGCACTCTGACATTGAGTTACATCTCCAGTATCTTCCATCCATTTCCATTTTGAAGAAGGTTCTTAGTAAGTTGCTAAATTGAATTTGTAAATATTTTCTCCCGTTACCTGTGTTGCTTTTTTACTTTAGTTTTAGCTCTCACATGTAGCTCTCTGGCCCATTTTAACTGTTTTCATACAGGGTGTAAAGATGTCCAACCTCTTCTTTTTGCATATAAATTGCCAGTTGTTGCAACATTGTTCATTAAAAAGATGACTGTTATTTCCCCACTCAATTTTCTTGGCACCAGCGTGACTGTAAATTTTCAGGGAATTTATATCAAAATGAAAAGAGGCTGTGGATCATCACATTTCTGGGCAGTGTGCAGGGTAGGAAAATTAAGTTACAAATATGGACTATTTTTTAGGGAGTAGAAAGACTTCTCAGAAGGCAGAACCAAGAATAATGTAGTGGAGAACTTCTGGTAGCAGGAACTGACCTGAAGGAAAAACTGCTTTTCCCTCAAGTCCCGCTGGATTCCAGCGTTAAGTCAATAGGCGACAGACTGGGCCCTAGCAAAAGGAAGAGTCTGTGGCAGTTACCCTGTTCCTGCCTCACCAGTGAATAGTAGATGTACGATGGCAGTCACTGTGGTTTTGTTAGGTCACCAATTTCTGAATTTTAAATAGTCACATCCTAGCCGGGCATGGGGGCACACACCTGTTATTCCAGCACTCAGGAGGCTGAGGCAGGAGGATCGCTGTGAGTTCGAGGCCAGCCTGGGCTACATAGTGAATTCAGGTCAGTCTCAGCTACATAGTGAGACCCTGTCTCAAAAACAAACAAACAAAAACAGGTATGTCCTAAAAGTCTCACAGCAGGCAAAGCTGTACCAGTCTTTATCCTATCCTGAATATTTGGCATATGGGAGGAATGAAAATGATTCCTGTACACGGAGGGTGAAGCAGTCCTGTAAATATGTCCACCAAGTCTGAGATCCTCAAACCAAGATACAGAGTGTGTTCCTCTAGTTCTTGCATCTGAGCTAGGAGGGCGGTTTGTTCTGACCAGTACAGGGGCTCAGAGGACCTGGTGTGAACCGCAATCTTGGTCTTGGGGGCCTGGGATCTTGTTTTGCTCTTTTAGGACCTTGTGCTGAGTGAGGGAAGCTACATCAGGAAATGGAAATTGCACTGGAAGAGGAGCAGGCGTGTCCAAAGAGCCAAGGTGCCCTGTCCCCCAGCCGTGTGTGTGTGTGGGGGGGCACCATGGGGCCCAAAAGAACACACCAGCTAAATGCCATCCCACGAGGTGCCCAGGCAACCCGCAGAATAAGTAGACACAGTGCCTCTCTGGGGTTGAAACCCCTAGGTTGTGAGGTGGGAGAAGTTCAAGCCTGGCTGGGCCAGGTGTGCTGCACTTCTGTCTCCTGAGCAAGCTCGGAGGCCATGCTAAGGCCGAGCTAAGTCGCCTAAGTGCGAAGACACTGGGTCTAACAGGCTACACCTCCGCCCCTAGTCCGTGACTCCTTCGCCTCGCCCAAGAAAAATCACCCCACTGTATGTCTAGGCAATAAGGTATTGCCCAGTGTTCTCCACTAACGTATGGATCTGCACAACCTGTAAGACAGTGCCCTGTAACCAAACGCTCCTCCCGTGCTCCCTCCCTGGTGGTTGTCTACACGTAAGCTATATAAGCCTGTGCATTTCCTAAATAAAGCAGAAGCATTCCGGAAACCTCCCCAGAGTCTGCCTGGGGATTCCGCACCTTACCCTCCCAGTCTGAGCTCCTGAACCGAACTCCGCAGACCAAGCGGTGCACAACAACAGTGAGGTGGTTTGTTTTGCGTGAATAATCAATTTCATTCCCATCCAAAGATTCATAGGCCAAATTCAAGAAAGTTGCAATAACTTTGGTTTTAAGTCCTTGTTTTGAAGGCTGTAGTTGGACAAAAAAGAAATAGCTTACTTTTGGATTGCATTTCCCTTTTTGTGAGACTGAGAAAAGTTTCCTCCCTGCTGGCGCAGATGAAGATTACAAAGCAGAAGAGATGCAGTTAATGATGCTTTATCGAAGGTCTGTCCTGGGCACTGCCTTTGAGATCTTGGGAGGAAACAGGCTTCATTCGTCCAAAGAACTGTTAAGTTGCCAAAAATATAACTGGCTTTGTTTCTTAAGAGGAACAAAGTTTGCTTTCAACATTCCCAGGCTGTGGTCCAAGTCAAGGAAGAGTCGCGGCCACAGGCCAAGCATGAGAGCAAGGTAGACTTCCCTTGGAGGCTGGAGTCGGCCTGGAAGGCTCCCGTCCATGTGCCTCTTTGCCTGGCTGCTGGTGGCGACAGAGGGTCTGGGCACATCGGGTCCCTCTGTGCCTCTTGTCCCCATAGGGCTTCCTTACTTCCCACCACCCCCCACTCTGCTCTGCTCTCATCACTCTCCCAGGAAAAGGCCTTGTTTATGATCAACTGACAAACGAACGGAGAATACAAGGCCAATCTGGAGATGCCTGCTGCTCTTCTGTTACCATTCAAATGTGATGCAGCACCCTCCTGGGACATGGTCTCATCATTTTAATAACTTGCTTCTCCTAGTGAAATCAAATGTAGTGTAATTTAGAGGACTCCAGGTGACATGATAATTGATTTCTGGTCACACAGTCAAATAGTTCCATTATTCAAAGTTTGTTTAAACAGGTTTCAAAAATATTATTTATCATTCTCAGAACATTAGCCACCAAAAAATAACAGATGGGATTTTCACCTGCATGACTCTCGAAGGACACACAAAACATGGATCGGGAGGTGCCCGCAGAGTGGCACCAGCAGGCTACCTATCAACTGTGGCCCTTGCTCGTTAGATACTGAGAGCGGGTGCCCCCTCCAACTCTGTGAGAACCATGCAGCACTAACACACACGCGCTTCCGCATCACCCATGGGCGCCAGCGAGGGGCTGTTACTTGTGATTCTTGAAACCCACTTTCAGTGGCAATGCGAACGGGAGAGGTGCACCGTGCCAAGTTTGCACTCGGAAGTCGCGTCCTCTTACTGCCACTTGTAATTGCAGAATTTCCAATGTAGCTGCGTGCCGGGGTTCAAGGAGCGACTGATGTCTTACTCACTTTTCAGCCTCGTGTTTCAAACAGTGCTATGAAGATGATCCTCACACAGCAGTCTGTGCACTTGTATAATCCCATCTCGAGAGTAAATTCCCACAAGTCAAAAGGTCTATGCATTTAAAATTTTTTACGGCTATTACCAAATTGCCTGCCAAACCACCCATGAAGTCTGTGTAAATGTGTCTTCCCATCACCCCTCATCACTGGGTACTGCAGAAGGTTCTAATCTTGGTCAATGGGTTCTTTAAAGATGAACACAAAGGATTTTGAAGCCATTTCCGGCCCAGGCTCATTTTACATTACGCAGTAGCTTGCACCTTGATGGTGTCCTGTATACAGGACGTTCATGTGGAAGAGGAAGTGGGCTGTCACCGTTTTCCAGAGTAAAGCTGGGTCAAGACTGGAGGTTGGGCAGATGGGAGTTTTGGCTCTAAGAACGTAAGACCTCTCAAACAAGTCCAGCCGGCTAGAAACGGAGGGGCCCTGCCTGGAGAGATAACAGCGCCTCCTCAGAGTGGGAAATTTTCAATTTCAGGCTGGATGAGCAACTTCAAAGGTAAGACGAGATTCCTGAGTTTAGTTACAAGGTCAACATTTCTCAAAGCGTAGTACTTGGACTGTGGTGTGTGTATGTGTGTGTGTGATAGATGGTACAAACTTGTGAAAAAAATTCTGCTCGGTGTATATTCATTGTCCTATGTATACACTGTGTTGCTATGTTACTAGCAAATTATACAGCTTCATATACAAAGGTAGTACTGCTGGAAATACACTGTGGCCATAAATGTCCTTCCTGACCTTAGGGTCTTTCCCAAAAGTAAGATTCTACAGTTCTAAATCTGATTTAGACATTAGTAAAGTTTCAACTTGTGGAAAAAGTCTTCCAAATTCCGGGAGGCTGCATGTACTGCAAGCCAGCTGAGGGACACAGCAGCGAATGTGTGTGTGCAGATGGGTGTCAGAGCCTCTGAGGACAGTTTCTCATGGGGGCCCTAAGCCCTCTGTGAGCACCTGTGCTGAAACTACAGTCGATTCAGTAATTTGAGGACAATACTAATATTTTAGATAGTCGTTAAGGTTTGCCGCAATGGGGTCAAGCCTACACGTATTAAATGAATTTCTGGAAAAAAACATGAAAAATTGCTCATGGCCTCTCCTTCCCATTAGTACATCCAACCTCAGCAGCAGGGTTTAACGTCAGTCCTCTATGACCGCCAGAAAATCCAGTCTGCAATGTTACAGGTTTAGAATACACGTAACTTTCTGCACCGAAAATCAGACGAATATTTAGGTCATATATAAATCGTACAGTGTTCCTGGTGCTAGAAACAGGAACATTTTTAAAAGAAAAAACTCAATGTGCACCCAAAAATTCCTCCCTCAGCCCAGCCGGTTCCGATTCCATCCATCGAGATGGAACATCTCGTCGTCTTTAGTCAGTCCTATCCATCGAGAGCATTAACGAGATTCCTCCCTCAGCCCAGCCGGTTCCGATTCCATCCATCGAGATGGAACATCTCGTCGTCTTTAGTCCTATCCATCGAGAGCATTAACGAGACGCCTCTGCCTGGGTGTTGGGTAATAAGTCTACGGTTTCATCTCCCCTACGTGGTTCAAGTCACAAAGCCTTGGCGTTGGTGTCTCTATTGGCCTACACAATGGCTTCAAGAGAGGTCACGCTCTTCTGTGACCAGTGGACAGCTGGCCACCAGGTACAGATGAAAATATCACTTAATCGCACTGCCATTCAGAGCCTAGCATTGTGAATTAGTGCACAAAGCTGAGCACAGAGCAACCTGGAAAAAACCCACTTCCTCAAAATAACTCGAGCCCTTCATCCTCCCTGACTCGTGAACTATCCACACTCACCATTTTGTGTCTCACACACACACAACCACACCTCACACAGATACTGGAAATAAACATTAGAAGCCACCTGGATAGGATACATTTTTATTGGGGAGGAAAAAAAATGATTCAAATACACAATTCTCAGTAAAATTTTCTATTTCTTGCATTTTAATTTGCCCCAGAAAATGCATTAATTTTATTCAAATGTTTTTCCTAAAATATAAATATTTAAATTAAAATTTTATAAATGTAGAGGATATAGTTTCTGTTGGCTCTCACATAGATATCAGTCCAAAACTTCAGCAAGGTTGAAATATTTGCAACTGTGATTATTTTGTCTATAAATATATAATAGAATCTTTGCAACTCAATCATGAATGATTAACTCATACTTCATGTAGTACCGAGCACCTTAAATTACATATTCTTGAATTAAACTATTGGCATTAATATATGTATTTTAATGTGTTATTTACAATAGACAAGTAGAATTCTCTTATATAACAACATTCCAGTGATTTTGAAAATATATAGTGAAAGAGCATAATTTACAAATGCTTCGATGTTTTCCTACATTATTTAAGCTTGGATTTCATTCTTCAGCACTGGAAAACAAGAAACAAACACCAAGCCAATATGCTCAAGCTGTTTTTTAAAGGATTATTTCTGTTTAAAAAAAGGGTGGATCAAAAATGATCAAGATAAGCTATATACATGTACCAAGTCCCCAAAGCAAATGCAGCTCTTATGAACTGCAAACATACACTTCAAACAAAACAGAGAAAACGCTAGCTTCGCAAACCATTCTGGGAGGAAGCAAGGAGACCTGAAGGTTAACGTGGGGTGGGGACACCTGACTCCCCGTCCAGGAGAACACAGTGGGCCTTCCGGTGTGGAGGAGGCCAGCAACCACGAAATCCCGTGAGCATGTTTTTAACTCAGAATGTAATACAGATCGTTATCACCAAAGCCCATGTGAACAATATTCTGAGAAATGATGATTTAAAATAAATCTCTGCAACTCAATAAGCATGAATGTCTGAGGGGGCAAGTTTACATCCTTTAAACAAAAGCACTTTTTAAACCTCTTTACATCAATATTTGCTAAAATTCGATGCTTAAAACACAGGTCTACAATGTACATTTGTCTGTGTAACATTCAGGGGAACAAGATGTTAGAAATCGGGGACTACTTTTTGAGGTCTGAGAAAATCAACTTTTAACATCAGACCACGGGGGTTATTTTTAGTGAGTGAATTGAGACGTAAAAGCAAAAACATTAAGTTTGTGCTGTGCTTGCCACTGTCCCAAAATACTTTTCTAGAAAAATATCAGGCCATTATCTTATTTCCCTGGGATTTGAAAAGAGCTGCAGACGTTATCGGTAGATTGGGTTATAGCGATGGGCTTACGTTCTGGGGATGGGAAACTTCCAGAATCCCACGAGCTTTGCTGGGAAATGCATGCACCCAAGCACAGGGACAAACGGAGGGCCACCAGCTGCTCAGTGCTTCACAGAAAGTCAGGACACGGGGACAATTAGTTACCCGCCATCGTGTGTGTGTGTGTGTGCGTGTGTGTGTACACATATATATGATGACAACCTTTAAAAAAAACATGACTTGCTTTCCGTACATAAAGCTGTCAGCCTTGGCCATAAGACGGGACACCTTGGTGTGAGTATCGCCCCAGGACCTGTCATCTATTGTGCACACAGCTCTTCAGCACAGCTTTGTAATTTAAGCAGTGAATTCTGGCTCCAACTACGCCAGCTTCCAGCTCAGATCCATATTTGATGTTTTATTTAATCCCCGCTCAGCTTATGCCAGTGAGAACACTTTGGAACCATTCTGCACCCCTGACAGATAATTCATGGAGGAAAAAGGTAACAGCTGCTTCCCACTTAAGGAAAAGGTGGGCTTCTGTTCAGAGAATATTTCCCTACCAGTGAAAGTCAAGTCAACTAGAATTAGGACCTACACTGCAATAAGTCAAGGGGTCATGGTTAGTGGGGTGGGCAAAACAGGTGAAAATATTAATTTCAGGCCTGAAAATACCTAGTCAGCCCTTTCTTGCCTGGACAAGCCAGCTGCCTAGAAACTGGTATGAGTGAGGCTGCACCTGCTGTTCTCATGGCCGAGGCCCTGGTCGCCATCATGTAGAAGCCACGCTGTGTGCAGCCAACCGCCTTCACTCATCGTCTCAACCTCACCTGCTCTGGGAAGCGTTATTCTGACGCATCTCGTGGTGTTTCTCAGGGTGGCCCTGCACCCTGTGGAAGCCTCACACCCACTCCTGCACCTGGAGCTGGCCCTGGCAGCTACGCGTGGTGCGCGGCTCGGGGTCCAGTGTCCCAGTCTTTGGTGCATCACAGGCCCCTTCCAAGGCAAGTCGCCCCTCTGCTCAAGCCACCAAGCCAAGTCTTGTAATCTTAGCTGACAGGAATGAATGGATGATGAAAACAATGGGCTTGGGGCAGGAATGAAGGTCCAGCTGCTGAAATTGGAAGGGGGGAGAGGGAGAGACAGAGAAAGTTCACATGAATGCTCGATTCAGAACAATGACGTACGCATCAAACGAACCTATCCACACTGCCAGCTTTTTAGTGTTAACTGGAGCAATTATGCTGTAAAATCATTGCCCTGCAATAAGATAAAGGAGTAACTTTGAACTTGTTCCTTAAGTCTCATGTAACTTTCTTTCTAACATAAGTTCTGTGGACTGTATCTACACCAGTCCCATAAACACGGACGGTGCCCTTCTTGACTGTAGAAATCATTTCGTTTTGGTCCCACAGTGACGATGTTCATGGAGCTGTAGCACAGTGGGAGCAGCACTGCCTCTCACACCCCGAGATCACCCGGTCCCGCTCCCACACTTCCGAGACACGACTCTTGGCCACACTGAAGGTTCTCCCCAGGCCTGGGAAGAGAGGAGCCACGCTGAGCGGCTGTGTCCCGGCTTCCTGGCTCTCGAGCCGCTGCACACAAGTGTGCCGCGTGCCTGTGAGGCCCCTTCTCCCCTCAGTGAGGGCCACTCAGGACCCAGCGCAGGCGCTGTCGGATGGTGAACGCTCCTGTCACCTGGCCTACTTTAGGAAAGAGGAGCTCTTCCCCAATTCTGTCCCGATGGCCCCAGTTTTATTCTAGTGATGACAAGATTGAAGACTAAGAACAATGGGCACACAAGAATATTTATTTGCCAAAGAGGGCATTCATTATACATCAGGTGCTGCGCTGCCCATTCTGGTATCTAATTCTCAGAAAACCCCTACAAGGCGCCTGTTGTTAACCATTTTTATATGGAAAAGTTAAGATTTGCAGACACAAAGCTCTCTGAAATGGTGTATCTCACAGGAAGTAGAGTGAGGACTCAGATATCTGTCTGATGTCACAGTTGGGATTTAACACACTCCTGCTGTTTAGACCCACCAGGGCACATGCGTGACCGTCCAGTTGGGCGGCCTGTACCTCCCCGGACTGTCCGGTGCCACCCGATGGGAGGGACAGTCACACATGCAGCAGCGCTGTTTCAGAGCTGCCCACAGTGAGGCATATAGATTTTGTGGCGCCCTTGTGACCGTGTTAACCACCATATTCTATGTCACGAGTGCGGAATCTGACTTTCAGAAGTGACATTAAAGATTACCTCCTTCAATCCCTATATTTTATGGGAGGGGAGACTTAGATTCCAAGAAATGAAAGGACTTTCCCAAGATAGCTGGGGAGTTGTATGCAAGTTCAAAAAGAGAATCCAGGAAACCTTCAGTTTACCGTGTTTGCTACAACTCTGATCCCTTGTCCACCTGCAAAGGTGGCTGCCTGCCTGCCTGCCTAGGGCTGTGTCTGAACTTGACTTAGCAACCTAATGTGCCAGTGGTTAAAAAAGAAAATACTGCACAAAAACAGTCCTTCCTTATTCTTCCAAGTCAGGTCGTAATTATAGGCAGAAAGGCTGAAATTTAGACAGAAGTGATTTTCCTCTTGGGAAAAAATAGTCTTGAATTTTTAAGCCCAGGATAAAACGGGACCCTGATTCTTGTTCTTTCCACGCTGTTGGAGAATGGTCACCTTTAGGAAAAAGGATGCAGTGAGGAGATTGATAGAGCAGCAAGAGAGCTGAGAGAATTCTTAGCGAAACGGGCTTTTAAAACACGACTTCATTTCCATACAGGTGCTTCGGGCTGCACTTCAAGACTGAAACACACAAATAAACAAACAAAAATTCCAGCGAAATTCTGAGGCTGCGTTGCAAAGCGTAGAACAGCGGCGGGCCGGAAGCTCAGAAGTGGAGCGGAAGTGGCTGTCCTGGGCGTGGACCTCATCATCCCTGCCCTCAGCAAGCCGCTCCTGCTGTGGGGTCGGCACCGTCCCTCGATGCAGGACAGGGGTGTGACATTTGGAGGTGAAAGGACCTTGGACTCTGCCCCGGCCCCTTCTGGGTGACTTGAGAAAGTTCCCGGCATGTCCCACTGGAGAAATGACTCAGAACTGTGGAGCGCGTGGAGAGAGGGGTGTGGAGGGCCCCTGGCCAGATGGAAAGGCTGGGCTCTGCTCTCTCACCAAGGAGACATCTACAACTATGTGTTGACTGATCCAGTGGCCGGGGAGGACCTGAAGAGAGACCAAAATCAGGGGCCTCTGCACAGTTCTGGACTTTACAGCTTGAGTGAGATGCTACGCCTTCCTGAGAAATGCCAAGAACTCCGAGGGTCTGAAAGAGGAAAAGTGCACCCTTCCCTTGCTCTGTATAGCTGAGGAGTGGGCTTTTCCATGTGGGCAGGCGGCAACAATCCCAGGAAGTCTTGCATTGAGGCACACGGACTATTTGCACTGCTATGAGAAGTATGCTACCTTACTGGATGAATCTGCTGTGTTGGATATTCCTGAACCTTCATCCCAAACTTCTGTGCCATCTTTTTCTTCACTTGGATAGAGTTGATCAGTTTTCTTGTCCTGCTGCCCCTTGTCCAGCACCCCCTGCCTCTGTGCTGTCACCCTTCTGCTCCTTGGAGACCTCCCGGATGGCAGGGAATGCTGCGCTTGCCTCCCAGCTCTCCAAAACACCGGGTACGGAGCCAGGGTTCTATAATGCTGGATACTTGTTGAGAATGAACGGTACATTTTTTTAGCTGGTGGGGATGCCCCCCCCTTTTGATTTTTGAGACAGTGTCTCACTGTAGTTGAGACGGACCTGGAACTCACTATGTAGCCCAGGCTGGTCTCGAACTCACAGCGATCCTCCTGCCTCAGCCTCCTGAGTGCTGGGATTATAGGCATGCGCCACCATGTCCGGCTTGGCGGGATCCCATTTGATAAGAATTTAATGCTAACCTTATAAAGGATGTTTCTCCTTTAATTCAGATATTCATGTAGTCTTCTGATGAGAAATAAGACCCAATGAAAGAGCTTTGGAACAACTGAATCTGATCATTATTTTTCCAGAATCAAATGAAATGTGAGCCTGCGTTAACTTTGTTAGTAGTGAAATGCTCAAAAAGTCTAAGGCAGCAGCATTACATTTATAAGTCATTCTGGGTATGTTGAGTAATGAAACATACACAATCAATCACACCGTCACAATAAAAGCATACTTACAATCTCTCCTTCTTTGCCTCCAAAATCTAAATACAGCATCCGGACCCCATCGTCTGAAGACATTTTGAGCTTCTCATAAGGGGACTGTATGATTGTCTTGGGAAAGGCACCCTCCTGCGGCTCAGTGGTAAGAGTAAATCCATTCTCATAATGCACAGTCAAACGACACTCCTGGTTTTTGTAGGTGCAGGCTGAGGGAGAAGGAGAGGGAGAGAGGGCGGGGGTAAGTACGACAGGTGGGAACCAAAGCATCAGCCCACTTTCCCACGCCCTCAGTATCTCCCGTCTCCTTAATCCTAGGACCGAGCCACAAGTTTCTTACTAAAGTACACAAATAGTAATTCTTCGTGAAGATATTGTCCATGGATTGATTTTGGCACCGTAATTTAACTCCAGAAATATACGTGAGGGATATAAACAAATTATTTCCCTTTGCTGGGATGCACTGAATGTTTCCGGGCTTCTAGCCTTTCTCTGGTCATCTGACAACGCACAGGGAGGTCAACTTGCCTTCCAGTGACCACAGTGGCTTGCCATGAGCCAGAGCCAGAAAAAATCAACATTTGATTTAAATAAAGTAACTCATGTCTCATTCATCATCATTATCATTACCCCCAACACACACACACCCCACCCCACACTGTCATGTCTGCCCCTGGTAGAAGAAGCAAGCATTCTCCCACTATTACCCAAGTTATTAGATGGAACACATTGAGGGGCTCTGGAGAGAGTTGTTCAAAAATAATGTAACATTTTATTTTAAAACAAAGTTTGTTTTAGATGTAGACAAAGGTGTCTTAGGCATTTTTCTCACTGCTGAGACAAAATACCTGATCCCCGAAGACAAAGGAGAAAAGGTTTATTTAGCTCACAATTTTTAGAGGTTTAAGGCCACAATTGGCTGGTCCCAGGGCAGGTTGGTGTGGCAGAGGGGCCTCATGTAGGAGAAGCAGTTCATGGCAGGGCAGGCAGAAGGCAGCAAAGCAATAAGCAGCTGCAGCAAGTGATGGCAACAGCCCTCTTTCTGTCCCTTGTATTCCATCCAGACTACCACTTTTGATCCCAGCATCACACATTCTCCATCCGGCCACCTCCAAAAAGCCCCACCTATTGACTGCGTGAGGTTTTGGGGGGACATCTAGACACATGCCAGAACAGAGGGTCTCTTTCAATTTCACTGAGATCTTAGGTCATGGAGAAGTTGCTGCTGCAGACAAATGCCAGATGTGACACCTTGTATGAAGGATGTTATGTCCTCCTGACCCTGTGTGGCATCCAGGGACCTCAGCAGTAGTACTCAGGAGGCACTCTCCCATCCAGAGGGACAGAAGGCAACCCCTGAGCAAGCGGGGTGCCAGCTTCTTATCTGAGAATCTCACTGCGTTTAGGAAGAGTCTAGCTCTTTAAGCCTCTGGACCTGGACAGCAGGACAGCCATCAGGATCCTTGCTCCTATTTGGGAAGAGCTGTGGGTATATCATTTAAAATCCTTAATTAAAGAGTTGTGGAAAAGAATATTAGGGATGAGACTGCATTCTTAACCCATCCCGGCAGTTCAATTGGTCCAGGCTTTGATCTACAATTAAATGACTTTTAGGAAAATCAGGACACTTATTTTTCTGAAAGGGTGGGAGATGCAATAAGAGCAATACTGATCGCTCCAGTATCCTTAGCCATGGTCAGCTTTCTAAAGCACACAGAATTCAGGTGTAGCACACATTATGGGGCAGGAATATTCCATTAGTATTATAGGACAAAAAACACTTAGAGAGATGAATGTGCTTGACTTTCAAGATTCAAGTTCTTTCCACTGTGTCACATGTTTCTTTCCAGTGCTCCAGCACTAGGATATGGAGGGATGTGGGATGGGACCATGGCAAGGAGGTTCTCAGCTTCCTTCATCATGAATGATGATTGTATGATGCAGGAGACCTTCAGAGTTTTGGGGAAAAAACCGGGGATGTCTAGTGCTCACAGAACAAGATGGCTTGTAACTAGAGCTCTCATGAAAACATGTATCCCTGCCCCTGACTTCTCCATCTTCCAGCTTATCCTGATTTCTCCCTAAGGGTTCCTCTCTAAAAGACCCGAGTCCTGCACAGAACCTGGGCCCTGCTCTCTGCCACCCTTCCAGTCCAAACATGACCAAGGACAGTGGCAATGAGATAGTGACAGCTGCCCATCTTGACTCCCCCTTTTTTGATAGTCTTTACTTCTACCACCTGCAGAATATGCGAAGAGGTGCTGAAAATACTTTTTTATTTTCCTCTGGGTTTGAATTTAATGCTATGCCATCAGATACTCTGAATTAACTGGTTGTGATTACTTTTAATTACAGTTGACCTTAAATGGTATTTGTGGCCTTCATATAATGCAATCAGTTATCTAGAGAGGTGCTCAGTCTCTACAGGAAAATTGAATACACTGCTATGATAATTGAAACCCTAATTAAATTAGAAGCTCCCCTCCACCTATCTGTGGGCATTCTTCAAGTTGTAACTCAGTCACAACTTTGGTCACTCCCAAAATTTCTTCTGTTCTACAACTCAGCTAGCTCAGTTTATAAAATTATCTGTTATTCTCCTTTGGCAGTCTGTGAATGAGTTCAGCATTTTCCTATCAAACTAGAGTTCAGGTTATTTAGAGAAGATATTTTTTGGCGGGGTGGAGTACTGGGGATCGAACTTGGGTCCTTGTGCTTACCAGGAAGGTGGCAGAACCACTGAGCTAAATCCCTGGCCCAAGATTTTACAAAATTTGTACAATGCAAACTAAACCAAATCCCTTTGACTTCTCCCTTCTTTCCTAGAACACTCCCAGGATTGTTGCATGGAATCTGAACTTGCTGATATTGCACAGATAACTTTGTTAAATTTGGTATTTGGTTGATTTGGGCCATTTCTAACTCTAAGTTTTAAAACTCATCTTTCTTGCCAGATAGATAGTAATCAAAAAGAAAAACTTCAGGGTCACTCCCTAAAAGTTTTCAGTAACACTGGGGAACACCTGCGGGTACAGATTGGTTTCAATGTGATTATGAAAAGGCCCTCATCACCTTGGCTAGGACCCAACAGAAATCTTATAAAAAATTTGCTTTTTCATGTTTGTATGAGTAGAGGAAACTTGGAGAAACCCTAGCGCAAGGTGATGTGTGTCTATCTTTTAGAATACTCCTGAGTGATGGAAGCTGTGCCCCAGTAGAATACTACTCAAAGAATCGTCCATGGACCAAGGCATCATTGCCACGCAGAATCCTCTTAGACACCAATTCTCAAGCCACACTCCAGGGCTGCTGACACTGAATCTCTGGGGATGGGGCACAGCCAGCAATCTGAGACTCTTAACAAATGAAACTAAAAAGTTTATTGTCATTCTTTTTTTCTGTGCAGCTAATGTCTGGAAGCATCATTTCTAAATGTCCCATGGAAAACCTTCCTCCAGAACAGAGCGGTACAGTAGGAGGACTTCCTGCCATGATGGGACCGTTCCACAGTCATGCCATCCAGTACGGTAGCCATTGGACACATGAGGCTATCGAGTACTTAACAGGTGGCTAGTGCCGCTGAGGAAGTGATTAAACTTTAATTAATTTAAATGGACATTGTCTGTCCTAAAGAGCTTATTACATAGGACAGCACAGGCCTACACATGTAATGGGTAAGATTGTCTATTGGATTGCCTTGAACACCACCTAGGGGATGAGCAAAGCACACTTCTGAGTGTGTTGGGGGAGAGTCACGGAGGTAATACATGTGACCTCTGACCCCTTCCTCTCTGACCCTGGTCTCTTGTTCTGCTTCCTGGCTGCCACGAACTGAGCATGTTTGTCCTGCCACACCATTCTGCTGTGATGTTTCTCCCTTGAGCTAGCCAACCATGAAATAAATCATCTCTGTCATGGTTAGACTTAAAATGTCCTCCAGGAGTCTCCTGTGTTCAGAGACATGGGGCTTGGAAGGTGACTGGATGATGGGGCACTATATTCTTCTGTGGATTGCTCCAGTGTTGAATTCATATTTAAATTTGCTGCTGAGAGTTGGAGTCTTGGAAGGGTTGTGACAGTGGGGGCATATCTCCTGCCCTGGCTCCTCCTTCCTCTGTCTGAGTCCTGGCTGCCATGAGGTGAGCAGATTTCCTCTGCCATGCATCTCCACCATGATGCTTTTGCACTGGAGACCATAAACAGACTCCCTCAAACCATGAGCCAAACAAAACCTCTTCTCTTTTAAATTTTGGGTATTGTGTCCCAGTGACAGGAAATCTAATACAGAAAATTGTTGTGACTATACTTAACCATGTGTTTTGAAAGCCTTTGGAATTAGTTTGTGGGAAGTGTTTAGAAAAGTTGGGAGAAGATGGCTGAGCATAGAATGCTCAAAGCAGAGATTGATGGGTGATCGTCACTGGAGCTGAGAAGACCAGAACGGTGATAGGAATGCAGTCAGTAAGGGCCAGGCTCTTCAGGTTTTAGTTAGGAATGAAGACTTCATTGGCAATTAGATTAAAGGTCATATGTGTTATACCTTGGGGAAAAAATGTCTCCATTTTGCCCATGTCCTGACTCTTTGCAGGAGACTGAGATTAAAGATGGTAGACTAACTGATTCGGTGGAAGAAAATTCAAGCTCTAGGGTAGGTTTTTCTGTTTGCTTTAGGCAAATTTATAGTGATAATCAGTAGCATAGAACAGAGAGAAATATTTGAAAAACTTAAATTTTGGACCAAAGGGGACCACATGTAAAGTTAAGGGTAAAGGAAGTGTGGTTGCTAAAGAGATTAGCACCATCAAAGGAAACCAAGTACTTTGTACAGAGACATGAAAAAAGATGCCTTGAGGGCATCTCAGAAATCAGCAAGACCACATCTATTGCAGGCTTAAGGGTGTAAAAGTATTAACCTTTCATTTGTGAAGAAAGTTCCTGGTACCTTGGCTCAAGAAGGGCTGCTTTTCAAATTGGTCACCTGGGATTCATTTTACTGTACTTAGGGTTAGGATTAGTTTTAAGGTTAGGGTTAGGGTCAGCCATCCAGACACTTGGAGGTTGCTGCACTCATCATCCAAGGGGCCTGGCTACAGCTCCTGCTGACAGCAGGCCTTGGTGTCACATGATGCTTCTTTTATTTGTTGTAGAATATAAGAGTTGTGGGTTCAGGGAAGCTTCTACCCAGATTTCTAAAGAAGACCTAGGAGATCAGGCAAGGAGAACAGTACATGAAGCTATGGGAATGAATCTAACAGTGCATTGGAAACACTAAGAAGTCAGAGATACCAGGGATATAGAACATCTGCCAGGGAAGCTGTAGGTCTTGAGCAAAGCCAGTCCAAGAATAAAGCTCTGAGGACTGCAACCAAAAGGACATACAGGTGGGGCTGCCCAAGATCTCCAGAAATCTGTCTTAGTCATTTTCTTGTTGTTGGGACACAATACTGACATCCACAGCTTAAAGGAGGAGAGTTGTATTTTGGTTCATGTTTTTGGTTCAGAGTCCACTGCTCTGAAGCAGGACAGCATAGCACTGGGTCTTAATGGAAACAAAGCTGCTCGTGTTATGGCAGCCAGAAAGCACAGTGAATGGTAGAGGCAGGGAGTGAGGTCTCTTCCAGGTCACACCCCCAGGAACCTGCTTCTTTCTACCAGACCCCATCTCCTGATACCAAGCCAGCAGTAGCATACAGTCACCTTCCACAGGTTTCGGCTCTGAGGATAGGACTTAATGTTTGCCCTACTGGGTTTCATTCTTGCATTGGTCCAGTTCTTTCTTATCCCTTATTCTTCCCTTTTGAAATGCAAATGTTTACCCAGTGCCATTGCACCTGAGGGATATGTAACTTATTTTTAATTTTTACAGAAGTTCACAGCTAAGAGTTTGCCTTGAGTCTCAGAAGACACTGACTTTTGGAATGTGGAAAGTGTTAAGGCTTTGGAAAGGCATTACAGTGATACCTTGGTTGTCAAACTCAGTTTGTTCCAAATTCGTGCTCAAATACCAAAAACTTCATGAATTAGATATATTCTGCCCATAAAAAATAAGGGAAAACCAAATAACAGATTCCCCAAATTACACTTATAGATTCATTTTTCCAGAATTTTACCAAATTTCACAATAATTTTTTTTCTTTAACTCTATTGTGGTTCCCAGTTTTTCTCTTAGCTTTACTGCTGGTATCACTAACTTTCTTTGGGGCCATTGTTATAATATTTTATGTGAATAAAGTGCAAAACAAAAGCACAACGGTGAATGACTGGTGCACTAACACAACAGGAGGTGAGAGCAGCACTTAGACTGAAGTGTCACCCTTTGTGTCTGTGGTGAGATACTCCGCACGACTCACACTCAGCTGGACAAGTTTCAAGTTAGATTTTTCAGTTCCACTATTGAGTGAAGTTATAAGCACTGAGCAGAGCTTTTCAAATTTTGCTGTTTGAGTACTGGAAAGTTCGAGTGTGGAACCGTTTGATGGCTGAGGTATCACTGTATTGCATTTGGGGCTGCACACGAGATACCTGTATCTTATAAAGTGGAATTATTAACTTATTATTGTATTTATTTTGATACCACGTAGAGCTTAAGTAGCCACATTTGGGTGTCAAGTTGCGAGGATTGGGATGTGACAGTTAAGACCGTCAGCTTGATTTTTTTTTTTTTTTTTTTTTTTTTTTGT